GCCATCTTACCAATACTGAAGCCTGTAGCATCATAGCGTGGTGGGTCATAATATGATGAGTATGATGTACGAAGTTTCCAGTCAAAGTCATCGTCACCTTCTACGTTGTGCCATGGACATTCAGTAGTTCCCAGTCCCTTTTGAAAATCACATCTTTTGACTGAACAAAAAAGGAATCGAAAGTTAAACAGCCATATTAGTTGTTATAGAATATAGAAAAAGTCTGAAATGCATTTGTAGGAGCCAAAACAAACCACACAAGATGATGGGTTTTAACTGCAAAAATGTTGTGTAAATTGTACACAAAAAGTAAAATGTGTATCCACAGTGACACAAACGCTAGTGTATAGACTACATAAAACTATTGGTAAATTTAATATTTTGAGTGAAAGGATGAATTACACACTTTGGGAAAATGTATAACACAAAATTGTAGGTAAAATATAGAAACAGACAATGCATTTACAGCAACACAGGTTTTAGAGTAAAATTTCTATTAAAACACACTTATAAATAGGTATAAAGAGATAGTCGTTTATTGTGTAGAAAATTACATTGATCAATAAGACATGTATACTACAAGACCAAGCATATATTAATAGTCGTAATACTAACTAGCTGACAGCGTCATGCAGCATATGCGGCGCTAGTCAAAGTAAAGATAACATGCATCGATTATATGTGGATTACTGGATTTTTAAGAACTCGTGAAAATATATTTTCCGTGCAGACATCCCTTCCGGTAAATAACATATATTTTATGAGTCAACTTAAAATTAATTTGATTACACTTATTACAAAACATTGTAAAACTTGTCTAAATTGCGCAACTCTTCACTTTAACGCTCTGCTCTACATGATTTTGTGTATAACAATTTACACAAAATGAGCAAATTGTTTACTCAAAGAAATTTGTATATTTTCAATTCAAAAAAGTAAGTTAAGATTTTACCGTAGTTTTAAGTTGACAGAACTCAAAATTTTAGTTAAATGAGATGATTTACGCAATTAATTGCGTAAATTTACACAAAATTTTACGCAGTCCATTTAACATTATGTTTCACGTAAGGTTTAAATCAGGGTCTCCAAACTTTACAGCCAGAGGGCCACATGACTTTCATCCAGCATGTTGAGGGCCGACGAATCGTATACCGCTGGTCAAAGAGCGAATATTTTAATAAAACGAAGTACATAACACAAGCTTCATTAGTTAAGAAAATATTTATTCAAAATTTAAAGGTTAAATTTCAACAAAGTGTAATATCATAACAAAATCACAATTAGTCTGTTCAGTTTTCTCAATGTGAGTGGTGAAATTGGCTTTCTTAAGTGTCTCTGCGGGCCGGATTGAGAGCTCCGGGCCGTAGTTTGAGACCCTGGTTTAAATGATAAAAGCATCAAACTTATAAATACACAAATTATTTTACGTTTTAATCAATCAGCAATTCTTGTTTGTAATTTGGCTACGTTTGCTGAAAGTTCAGCAAAAACTCGAAATTGTGTAAAAATTTCCAGTCTCAGAAGTCGTCGACACACAAAAATCTTTAATGTTCACTAAATTTATCAAGAATTTCACTAAACAACTTAATGACAAAAATTTCTTCCAGCAAGAGTGAAGATCGTTCTATATACTTAATATATTTGTAAAACCCACGGTAACTTTACTATTAAAAATATGTCGAATTGTAGATTATGAATGTTAAAATTGCTTTTTAAATGTTATGTGGACTGTCTTGGTAACTTTTCAAGTATTTTGAAGAAAAGATTATATATAAGTCTACTTTATATACTTTTTAACCTAAATACAAATTTTACTATATGCAATTTAAATGCGATATTTGGGGTATATTCTGAACTAGCAATTTGTTAAAATATTTCGTAAGCGTGTTATATATAAATAACAACGAAACAAATCAACGCTAATATTTATGATGTTCAATGATTGAAAAATCATATGTAAATAGTTTCAAACTACTGCTCCATAAAATTGTTAAAGAAAATCAACAACATGCACTGTCTTTATTTCTATCGTACCAGAATGCAGCGTTGAAAGACGTGCTAGAAATATGGATTTTACTTTATAGGCATATGAAATATCAGTGCATTATCAACTCTAGCCATGCAAACAAGGTATATCTACAAATTTTACGGATTATTCCTATATTATTAATAGAAAACAAAGAAATAGCTAAATTATATACAACAAATCGTACCTCTTCCAGGATCACCTAAATATGAACTATCAAAATATCTATGTAACATTCTTTATTCTCTAGTCAAAAGTTCGCCTCACACCATCAAAAACCACCACCTTCCTCGTCAACATTGACACCGTTAAACTACAACCAGACACAGACACAGTTATGATATCTTACGACGTGACATTACTCTTCACATCCATACTAGTAGACACAGCCAAAGTATTAAAAACGAACTATTTACAAACGACAAATCTTGGCAAGCCACGACACAACTTGACAAAAATGACATCTTAGACTTACTCAGTCTTTGCCTCTTCACTGAATTCTCCTTACAGAACTCATACCATAGACAAATTTCAGGCACACAAATTGTGTCACCACTATCCACCTTCACCGCAGAAATTATAATGCAACAACTCGAATCACAATCAGTCACCAACAACACAGACATCAGACTGAGGAAAAGATGTGTCGACGACATCTTTGCCATTGTCAAGAAAGACAAAACTGAACAAATCCTACAAACCTTAAACAATACAATAATAAACATAACCTTTACTAAAGATGAAGACATGAAAACAACTTACTTTTCTCTGTATCCTACTGACTAGAACAGCACACTAAACACACATATTGTGCCGCAAAACGACCCACACAGACCAAATATTTGATTTCAACATCAATCACCCAACACAACACAAAATATGCTGCATACGAACACCTTTTCATCAGAATCAACACTTATTGTAACACCGAAAAGGCTAAGAAAACAGAACGCAATTACTTATACTCCACATTTATAAAAACAATTACAATAGAAAATTTATAAACAAAATTATAAACAAAACACAAAACAAAACCCAAACCAACAAAAGTAACGAATAACCCGATGAAACAGTAAAAACAATCACATCCATGCATACATAAACGGAACATCAAAAAGACTGCATGACTTCTTCGACCATTCAATATAAACGTCGCAAACAAACCAACACAAAGACAAATCATATTTTGCCAAACATAAAGACAAAACAACAACAATTCATGATACAACGGACGCAATCTACATGATGCCATTTAAAGATTGCTCAAAACAATACATATAGGACAAAAATCGAAGAAAATCGAAACAAGACTCACAGAACACAAAAACGCCATAAAACGACGAGATCCAAACTCATTAACGACAGAACACACGTTTGCAAATAACGACGCATAGGATTGGACAGAAATTAAAGTACTCGGACGCGCACAGACAAAACACGCACGCAAATTTAAAGACGCTTGGTACAGTAAAGACAACGACACAATGAACAAACATATTGACATACCTATCGTATATATTCACAGCTAAAGAAAAACGACAAAAAATCTACTAACGACACTCAAACCACAGCAACTCACGGTAATAATATATATTATCACAATCCTATTCACAATACACCCAAACCCACAACAACATATTTCACGTCATTCAATCACCTAAATCCACCATTAATAAAATAACTTATCCGGATAAACTTTTATCTTTCTAAAGTACATATATATAAGTTTAAAGAATGGTAATCCAGACATGCTTTATTGTAGTGCATGCCGTTATGTAATCTAGTACCTAATAACCAATTGCATATACAGTAAATAATAAATTATCTGTCAGTTTCCTGAAGATCGCCCTATGGCGTGAAACACCAAGTAGTGACAGCAAAACTTATCAATATATTAACTATACAATACATTGATTTTTTAATACTGAATTGTAAGTAGCAATGCTGAAAATTACCATATATACATTGTTGTTCAATTATACATGGTTTCAGTTTATCTTTGTTGTTTTAGTATTTTGTCAAAGTGTTTCCTTCATGTGGTTATGTATAGATAACCAAGGTTAAAATCAACGCAAATACTCCTGATGTTCAAAATTACAAAAATCATGAATAAATATTTTTAAAATGCTGCTTCATAAAATTGATAAAGAAAATCAACAACAAGTAGTGTCTTCATTTCTATCGTCACAGAATGGAGCGTTGAAAGACGTGCAAGAAATACGGATTTTTACGAAATAACATACGACATATAAGTATATTATCAAATCTAGTTCTGCAAACAAGGTATGTACAAGTTTTACGTTGGGGATTATTCCATTTAGTAGAAAAATAAGGAAAACATAAAACAAAAATATGTTTATAATACATTGATATTTCAAAACAGAAATTTTACTAATAATAATAAAAATTACCTTTTATACATTCTCGTTCACTCACTGCACCAACATTGATGGTACCTTTACTCTCATTACAGGGAAGACAACGAGTTCGTTTTGGATATGGTTGATATGTATAGATGGGACATTTTTCACATTTCTTACTTTCAAAAGAAAAGAATGAACCAATTGAACAATCTATAAAGACGATTAATGAAAATAAAACGTTGACTGACAATTAAAATTCTACAGTTGATTTATTTATTGTATTCAATAATTCCTGTCTCATTATGTAAGTTAACTATGAACCAAATAAAAAGTTAGAAAATTTCCAAGAACATAAAAACAACAAAAGTGATCAAGCAAAACACTTCACAATCCAAGAAAACAAATACTTACCAAAAGCATTTCTAGGAATGGCCACCTTTAGTATTGTGTCACAGCTTCTTGAAGCAAAAGCAAGATTGTCGAGAGCTACAAAGTTTCTTGTGTATCTTAGCACCATGGCTTCAACGATTAACTATGAAGAAAAAGTAAGCGGCTTGGACAAATTGCTAAAGTTTAATTTTAAGTTGTACAAATATGTGTAAGTTGCCTACCCTAGATAGACCCATTGTAAAATTAACTGTGACTTGGCCTTTTTTCCACTTAGTTCCTTGATCACCACTTAATGACCACAGTAAAAGATTGTGTCCATTGTGAAAATATTCTTGGTAGATATTCAATATCTCATATTGACTGCGAATATAATACGAAAATGAAAAGCACACGAGAGAGTCGTTTCGATAGTTTCCAACCAACGAAGCTTTGCCTGAAATAACTGATCCCAAACGAAGATATCGTCCTACAACAAATGAAGAAATGTAAGATATATGTAGACTATATATATAAAGAATAAAAATATCGTCCTACAACACATCAAGAATTGTAAGATATATGCGGACTTTATATATAAAGAAATATAAAATTATCGTGGTTTAACAAATTCAATAAACAAAATTTTTTAAAAAACCATAATAGCTATAAAATTATCATCTATTTTTGTGTCTTTTAGCTGAATGAAACTACATCTGATTTCAATTTTAATTAAGTATCTATTTTAGATCCAGCAATATATTTATGACGTTAGATTTTATTAAGAAGTAACTTACTGTTTGACATTTAAAATCCGAGTTGTCATTTAAAGACAAAATCCTAGATACTCTTCATCATTTTTCTTTTTTTAATTCAAGCAGTTGTACATACAACACTTATTCACTATAAACGTTGCCATCTTACCAATACTGAAGCCTGTAGCATCATAGCGTGGTGTTTCATAAAATGATGAGTTTGATGTACAAAGTTTCCAGTCAACATCATCGTCACCTTCTACGTTGTGCCATGGACATTCAGTAGTTCCCAGTCCCTTTTGAAAATCACATCTTTTGACTGAACGAAGAAGAAATCGAAAGTTAAACAGCCATATTAGTTGTTATAGAATATAGGAAAAGTCTGAAATGCATTTGTATGGAATAAAAACACACTACACAAGATAATGGGTTTTTAACTGCAAAAAATGTTGTGTAAATTGTACACAAAAATTTCAGTAAAATGTGTATCCACAGTGACACAAACGCTAGTGTAAAGACTACATAAAACTATTGGTAAATTTAATATTTTGAGTGAAAGGATGAATTACACACTTTGGGAAAATGTATAACACAAAATTGTAGGCAAAAATATAGAAACAGACAATGCATTTACAGCAACACAGGTTTTAGAGTAAAATTTCTATTAAAACACACTTATAAATAGGTATAAAGAGATAGTCGTTTATTGTGTAGAAAATTACATTGATCAATAAGACATGTATACTACAAGACCAAGCATATATTAATAGTCGTAATACTAACTAGCTGACAGCGTCATGCAGCATATGCGGCGCTAGTCAAAGTAAAGATAACATGCATCGATTATATGTGGATTACTGGATTTTAAGAACTCGTGAAAATATATTTTCCGTGCAGACATCCCTTCCGGTAAATAACATATATTTTATGAGTCAACTTAAAAATTAATTTGATTACACTTATTACAAAACATTGTAAAACTTGTCTAAATTGCGCAACTCTTCACTTTAACGCTCTGCTCTACATGATTTTGTGTATAACAATTTACACAAAAATGAGCAAATTGTTTACTCAAAGAAATTTGTATATTTTCAATTCAAAAAAGTAAGTTAAGATTTTACCGTAGTTTTAAGTTGACAGAACTCAAAATTTTAGTTAAATGAGATGATTTACGCAATTAATTGCGTAAATTTACACAAAATTTTACGCAGTCCATTTAACATTATGTTTCACGTAAGGTTTAAATCAGGGGTCTCCAAACTTTACAGCCAGAAGGCCACATGACTTTCATCCAGCATGTTGAGGGCCGACGAATCGTATACCGCTGGTCAAAGAGCGAATATTTTAATAAAACGAAGTACATAACACAAGCTTCATTAGTTAAGAAAAAGGTTAAATTTCAACAAAGTGTAATATCATAACAAAATCACAATTAGTCTGTTCAGTTTTCTCAATGTGAGTGGTGAAATTGGCTTTCTTAAGTGTCTCTGCGGGCCGGATTGAGAGGCTCAACGGGCCGTAGTTTGGAGACCCCTCGTTTAAATGATAAAAGCATCAAACTTATAAATACACAAATTATTTTACGCTTTTAATCAATCAGCAATTCTTGTTTGTAATTTGGCTACGTTTGCTGAAAGTTCAGCAAAAAAACTCGAAATTGTGTAAAAAAATTTCCAGTCTCAGAAGTCGTCGACACACAAAAATCTTTAATGTTCACTAAATTTATCAAGAATTTCACTAAACAACTTAATGACAAAAATTTCTTCCAGCAAGAGTGAAGATCGTTCTATATACTTAATATATTTGTAAAACCCACGGTAACTTTACTATTAAAAATATGTCGAATTGTAGATTATGAATGTTAAAATTGCTTTTTAAATGTTATGTGGACTGTCTTGGTAACTTTTCAAGTATTTTGAAGAAAAGATTATATATAAGTCTACTTTATATACTTTTTAACCTAAATACAAATTTTACTATATGCAATTTAAATGCGATATTTGGGGTATATTCTGAACTAGCAATTTGTTAAAATATTTCGTAAGCGTGTTATATATAAATAACAACGAAACAAATCAACGCTAATATTTATGATGTTCAATGATTGAAAAATCATATGTAAATAGTTTCAAACTACTGCTCCATAAAATTGTTAAAGAAAATCAACAACATGCACTGTCTTTATTTCTATCGTACCAGAATGCAGCGTTGAAAGACGTGCTAGAAATATGGATTTTACTTTATAGGCATATGAAATATCAGTGCATTATCAACTCTAGCCATGCAAACAAGGTATATCTACAAATTTTACGGATTATTCCTATATTATTAATAGAAAACAAAGAAATAGCTAAATTATATACAACAAATCGTACCTCTTCCAGGATCACCTAAATATGAACTATCAAAATATCTATGTAACATTCTTTATTCTCTAGTCAAAAGTTCGCCTCACACCATCAAAAACGCCACCACCTTCCTCGTCAACATTGACACCGTTAAACTACAACCAGACACAGACACAGTTATGATATCTTACGACGTGACATTACTCTTCACATCCATACTAGTAGACACAGCCAAAGTATTAAAAACGAACTATTTACAAACGACAAATCTTGGCAAGCCACGACACAACTTGACAAAAATGACATCTTAGACTTACTCAGTCTTTGCCTCTTCACTGAATTCTCCTTACAGAACTCATACCATAGACAAATTTCAGGCACACAAATTGTGTCACCACTATCCACCTTCACCGCAGAAATTATAATGCAACAACTCGAATCACAATCAGTCACCAACAACACAGACATCAGACTGAGGAAAAGATGTGTCGACGACATCTTTGCCATTGTCAAGAAAGACAAAACTGAACAAATCCTACAAACCTTAAACAATACAATAATAAACATAACCTTTACTAAAGATGAAGACATGAAAACAACTTACTTTTCTCTGTATCCTACTGACTAGAACAGCACACTAAACACACATATTGTGCCGCAAAACGACCCACACAGACCAAATATTTGATTTCAACATCAATCACCCAACACAACACAAAATATGCTGCATACGAACACCTTTTCATCAGAATCAACACTTATTGTAACACCGAAAAGGCTAAGAAAACAGAACGCAATTACTTATACTCCACATTTATAAAAAACAATTACAATAGAAAATTTATAAACAAAATTATAAACAAAACACAAAACAAAACCCAAACCAACAAAAGTAACGAATAACCCGATGAAACAGTAAAAACAATCACATCCATGCATACATAAACGGAACATCAAAAAAGACTGCATGACTTCTTCGACCATTCAATATAAACGTCGCAAACAAACCAACACAAAAGACAAATCATATTTTGCCAAACATAAAGACAAAACAACAACAATTCATGATACAACGGACGCAATCTACATGATGCCATTTAAAGATTGCTCAAAACAATACATATAGGACAAAAATCGAAGAAAATCGAAACAAGACTCACAGAACACAAAAACGCCATAAAACGACGAGATCCAAACTCATTAACGACAGAACACACGTTTGCAAATAACGACGCATAGGATTGGACAGAAATTAAAGTACTCGGACGCGCACAGACAAAACACGCACGCAAATTTAAAGACGCTTGGTACAGTAAAGACAACGACACAATGAACAAACATATTGACATACCTATCGTATATATTCACAGCTAAAGAAAAACGACAAAAAATCTACTAACGACACTCAAACCACAGCAACTCACGGTAATAATATATATTATCACAATCCTATTCACAATACACCCAAACCCACAACAACATATTTCACGTCATTCAATCACCTAAATCCACCATTAATAAAATAACTTATCCGGATAAACTTTCATCTTTCTAAAGTACATATATATAAGTTTAAAGAATGGTAATCCAGACATGCTTTATTGTAGTGCATGCCGTTATGTAATCTAGTACCTAATAACCAATTGCATATACAGTAAATAATAAATTATCTGTCAGTTTCCTGAAGATCGCCCTATGGCGTGAAACACCAAGTAGCAACAGTAAAAACTTATCAATATATTAACTATACAATACATTGATTTTTTAATACTGAATTGTAAGTAGCAATGCTGAAAATTACCATATATACATTGTTGTTCAATTATACATGGTTTCAGTTTATCTTTGTTGATTTAGTATTTTGTCAAAGTGTTTCCTTCATGTGGTTATGTATAGATAACCAAGGTTAAAATCAACGCAAATACTCCCGATGTTCAAAATTACAAAAATCATGAATAAATATTGTTAAAATGCTGCTTCATAAAGTTGATAAAGAAAATCAACAACAAGCAGTGTCTTCATTTCTATCGTCACAGAATGGAGCGTTGAAAGACGTGCAAGAAATACGGATTTTTACGAAATAACATACGACATATAAGTATTAAAGTAAATGGTTTGAACCCGGGAGTATCGTTATATGTTTGTGAATGATGATCGTCCAGGTTAATAAAGTCCTGAGAAGGACTGTTTTTGATGTTGTTGACTGACGTTTCGACAACCTTAGCGGTAGTCATCTTCAGAGTCAAATGAGGAGTAAACGTCAGGTTAGCCGTATTTGTTGTCTGGTTCTTACGTCATTGTATTGTGTGTACAGGAAATGTGCAGGAAATGTGTATTGTCATTGTGGATTAGTGTGAAGTGAAATATTTTATTTTTAGTTGTGATGTGTGATTTAGGTGTGACGTTTTTAGTTGTAGTGTGAGGGTGTCAATTGTGTATTGTCATTGTGAATTAGTTTGAAGTGTAATGTTTTTAGTTGATCGTTTGTTTGTATTGTGAATAAGTCGTTTGTAAGGTGCCGGTAATTGCTGTGATCTGTTCAGGGGGTTTGTTCCAAGTTGGTATACCAACTTTCTAATGTAAGCTGTTGTCTATAGTCAGTACTGTATATGATGCATTTTGCCGAGCCCCAGTAAATGTTGTGCTTTGTGATTCGGTGATGTTCGGCAATGTGATTAGTTTTGTCTTGTTTCTTAGTAGCTCGCTTGTGCTCAGTAAGTCTTATGTTTAAGTTCCTGCCAGTTTCCCCGATATAGGAGGCGTGGCAGTCGGAGCAGTTTATTTTGTAAACTGCACCTTGTCGTTCGTTGGATTGTTCTTTGTCCTTTATGTTCGTTAGTACTTGTCGTAATGTTGTGATTGGTTTATGTGCGACCACAATCAGAACATTAACAAGACGTGCACAAATCATATGTGATTCACCGGACGCTCTACGAAACGAAAACAACTATCTCAAACGTGTTTTTGACAAAAACAAGTATAACTCTGACTTTATCAAACGCAACACTTACAAACCCAACGAACCCAACGAAACGAACAACTCAGTGACAACAGCAACGATACCTTACATCAAAGGTACGTCTGAGACTATCTCGCGTATCTTACGACCATACAACATACGTGTCGCACATAAACCAATCACAACATTACGACAAGTACTAACGAACATAAAGGACAAAGAACAATCCAACGAACGACAAGGTGCAGTTTACAAAATAAACTGCTCCGACTGCCACGCCTCCTATATCGGGGAAACTGGCAGGAACTTAAACATAAGACTTACTGAGCACAAGCGAGCTACTAAGAAACAAGACAAAACTAATCACATTGCCGAACATCACCGAATCACAAAGCACAACATTTACTGGGGCTCGGCAAAATGCATCATATACAGTACTGACTATAGACAACAGCTTACATTAGAAAGTTGGTATACCAACTTGGAACAAACCCCTGAACAGATCACAGCAATTACCGGCACCTTACAAACGACTTATTCACAATACAAACAAACGATCAACTAAAAACATTACACTTCAAACTAATTCACAATGACAATACACAATTGACACCCTCACACTACAACTAAAAACGTCACACCTAAATCACACATCACAACTAAAAATAAAATATTTCACTTCACACTAATCCACAATGACAATACACATTTCCTGCACATTTCCTGTACACACAATACAATGACGTAAGAACCAGACAACAAATACGGCTAACCTGACGTTTACTCCTCATTTGACTCTGAAGATGACTACCGCTAAGGTTGTCGAAACGTCAGTCAACAACATCAAAAACAATCCTTCTCAGGACTTTATTAACCTGGACGATCATCATTTACAAACATATGACATATAAGTGTATTATCAAATCTAGTTCTGCAAACAAGGTATGTACAAGTTTTTACGTTTGGGATTATTCCATTTAGTAGAAAAAATAAGGAAAACATAAAAACAAAAATATGTTTATAATACATTGATTTTTCAAAACAGAAATTTTACTACTAATAATAAAAATTACCTTTTATACATTCTCGTTCACTCACTGCACCAACATTGATGGTACCTTTACTCTCATTACAGGGAAAACAACGAGTTTGTTTTGGATATGGTTGATATGTATAGATGGGACATTTTTCACATTTCTTACTTTTAAAGGAAAAGAATGAACCAATTGAACAATCTATAAAGACGATTAATGAAAATAAAACGTTGACTGACAATTAAAATTCTACAGTTGATTTATTTATTGTATTCAATGTTTTTTGTTCCATTATGTAAGTTAACTATGAACCAAATAAAAAGTTAGAAAATTTCCAAGAACATAAAAACAACAAAAGTGACCAAGCAAAACCCTTCACACTCCAAGAAAACAGATACTTACCAAAAGCACTGCTAGGAATGGCCACCTTTGGTATTGTGTCACAGCTTTCTGAAGCAAAAGCAAGATTGTCGATACCTACAGCGCTTTCTGTGTATCCATGCACGACAGCTTCAACGATTAACTATGAAGAAAAAGTAAGCGGCTTGGACAAATTGCCGAAGTTTAATTTTAAATTGTATAAATATGTGTAAGTTGCCTACCCTAGATTGACCCATGGTAAAATTAACTGTGACTTGACCTTTTTTCCACTTAGTTCCTTGGTCACCACTTAATGACCACAGTAGCACATTGTAACTATTGTGAAAATATTCTTGGAAGATATTTAATATCCCATAATAACTGCGAAAAGTATAATACGAAAATGAAAAGCACACAAGAGAGTCGTTTCGATAGTTTCCCACCAACAAAGCTTTGCCAGGTAAACTTGATTCAGAATGAAGAAATCGTCCTGCAACACAAGAGAAAATGTAAAATATAGTTACTGTGTAGACTAGATATATAAAGAATGCATATTTATTGATAAATCATTTATTTAAGATTGCTTGATCAACCATTATAGTAATGCTCGTAAAGAGATCGATTTATGTTGTTCTAAACGCCTTGTACAGTAAGATAATTAAGATTTTTGTGTAATTGTTAAATTTATTTCACCAATTTTTTATTTGTAAATTTATGAATAAAAAAATATAGTTGTTCAGGAGGGGCGGTTATATCACACCCATCGGGGAGCCCTATAATTCTGATGTCGTGGAAAATGTGACAGTTTGTCAAGGGTGGGAAGAAAATTAAGAATTTCTAATTTCGATAGTTGTTGTTTGTTTGTAGCTTTAATAAGTCAGAGCTTTTGAATAAAAAAAATTAAGAAAAATTTGTTTCCTCAAAGATACTAGCTTTTGGATTTTGCATATGGCAGTAGTTAATTTTATTACGTTGAAGCAAACTTCAGCGTTATGCCGCTAGCTACTTTTAGTGCTCTGGCTATAGATGTTGTATCAATCGTTTTATTCGATACATCATGATAATTAAGTATATATCCCTACGACACCTAAATTTTCTTCAAAAATGTTTACGATTAGTATGACCAAAGTCCTATTGCTTTGATCAATAAGAAGTTGAAAGCCTGTAACGAAAGAGAGAAGTTCTAAGTGTTCTCAAATGAGACTGAAAGAATGGCCAGTTATGTTGATATTGCCGAGAATGTAGAACTTGTTAGTATTCAAGAAGCTACTGTGCTACTGGATCGATATTTACTTCCATAAATATTGATCCTGTATGAGATCACGAAAAACGTTAAAGGCTAAGTTGAAGAAGAGATTTAATGAAAAGAACATTGTCGTTATGAGAAAAAATAGCAATTACTGCTTTGACCCACCGATTTTACAACATTCATGCATGAAAAAACTTTCAGCTTTCGCTGACTCATTTAATGGCACAACTATTAATCTCCTCTCTAAACGTTGCCATGCATATTAACACTTGCTATAAAGAACTTAAAAACAATAAAGAAAAACAAAACAAATAATAATATTCTTAAAGAAATTAGAAGAAGCCTTACTTGAGAAATGACTGCCTGCAGTTTGCTCTTGTGACGTGTCATCAACTAAATTCAAGTGGAATTTCAGCTCAATCCAAAATCAGAGTAGTCATTTTTGAAAACAAAATCTCACTAAATGATCTTCATCTAATTCATCAATAAAGCCTCTCTACTATATAAAAATGACATCATACCAAAACTGAAGCCTTCGTCATTATAACGTGATCTTCTATATAGTGAACTAAGTCTTCTGACAAAGTCGTCATTGCCCTCCACGTTGCTTTACAAACCTAAACTCCAAGTCATCCACCTACGAATTGGGCTTAGTACCGTCTGCACCTCACAATTCACAAGCGTAATTACATTAAGTAATAACCAATATTTATTATCTTACTCGCTTTACTAAGCTATCCAGTTCTCCATTTACAAAAACTCACTCAGTGTTTCAAGTGATCAAATTAGTTTTTTATCTTGAAACTCGATATTTTTTCTACTTGAACACATTAAAAAGCTCTCCTGTTGCAGAACTTACCAAACCTCCAGGAATAGACGAGAAACCAGTTGTAATCATCAACTCCCTCAACATTGTGCCATGGACATGAATTCGTGCCCAGGCCATGTTCAAAGTCACAGACATTCGCTGTAAGTAAATAGGGGAGGAATCAAGCAAATCAAGTTATACTTAAATACAACATTGAAAAAAGGGTTTTTGTTTCATTCTAATACGTAAGATTGCTTTTCACTGGCTATGTAAGCCAAAATTAGTGTAAAGAAATTAGTTTAAAAAAATTTTTATATTTTCTTGCATACATACGTCGCATGAAATTTATTGGATAAAGGAGCTGGTTTAGAAAGAGAAAAGAAACTTTATTTAAAATGTACAAAATATAAAAGCTTTGTTTGCAAAAGCTATTCTTACCTTCGATCAAATAAATACATCGACTTTTTTATGTTATCATAAAATAAATACAATTTTCGCTGATATTATCAAAAAAATCTTTCAATGTGTATTGTGTAGAAAATTACATTGATCAATAAGACATATATACTACAAGACCAAGCATATATTAATAGTCGTAATACTAGCTAGCTGACAGCGTCATGCAGCATATTCGGCGCTAGTCAAAGTAAAGATAACATGCATCGATTATATGTGGATTACTGGATTTTTAAGAACTCGTGAAAATATATTTTCCGTGCAGTTATCCCTTCCGGTAAATAACATATATTTTATGAGTCAACTTAAAAATTAATTTGATTATACTTATTACAAAACATTGTAAAACTTGTCTAAATTGCGCAACTCTTCACTTTAACGCTCTGCTCTACATGATTTTGTGTATAACAATTTACACCAAAATGAGCAAATTGTTTACTCAAAGAAATTTGTATATTTTCAATTCAAAAAAGTAAGTTAAGATTTTACCGTAGTTTTAAGTTGACAGAACTCAAAATTTTAGTTAAATTAGACGATTTACGCAATTAATTGCGTAAATTTACACAAAATTTTACGCAGTCCATTTAACATTATGTTTCACGTAAGGTTTAAATCAGGGGTCTCCAAACTTTACAGCCAGAGGGCCACATGACTTTCATCCAGCATGTTGAGGGCCGACGAATCGTATACCGCTGGTCAAAGAGCGAATATTTTAATAAAACGAAGTACATAACACAAGCTTCATTAGTTAAGAAAATATTTATTCAAAATTTAAAGGTTAAATTTCAACAAAGTGTAATATCATAACAAAATCACAATTAGTCTGTTCAGTTTTCTCAATGTGAGTGGTGAAATTGGCTTTCTTAAGTGTCTCTGCGGGCCGGATTGAGAGGCCCAACGGGCCGCATCTGGCCCGCGGGCCGTAGTTTGGAGACCCCTCGTTTAAATGATAAAAGCATCAAACTTATAAATACACAAATTATTTTACGCTTTTAATCAATCAGCAATTCTTATTTGTAATTTGGCTACGTTTGCTGAAAGTTCAGCAAAAAAACTCGAAATTGTGTAAAAAAATTTCCAGTCTCAGAAGTCGTCGACACACAAAAATCTTTAATGTTCACTAAATTTATCAAGAATTTCACTAAACAACTTAATGACAAAAATTTCTTCCAGCAAGAGTGAAGATCGTTCTATATACTTAATATATTTGTAAAACCCACGGTAACTTTACTATTAAAAATATGTCGAATTGTAGATTATGAATGTTAAAATTGCTTTTTTTAAATGTTATGTGGACTGTCTTGGTAACTTTTTCAAGTATTTTGAAGAAAAGATTATATATAAGTCTACTTTATATACTTTTTTAACCTAAATACAAACTTTACTACATGCAATTTAAATGCGATATTTGGGGGTATATGCTAAACTAGCAATTTGTTAAAATATTTCGTAAGCGTGTTATATATAAATAACAACGAAACAAATCAACGCTAATATTTATGATGTTCAACGATTGAAAAATCATATGTAAATAGTTTCAAACTACTGCTCCATAAAATTGTTAAAGAAAATCAACAACATGCACTGTCTTTATTTCTATCGTACCAGAATGCAGCGTTGAAAGACGTGCTAGAAATATGGATTTTTACTTTATAGGCATATGAAATATCAGCGCATTATCAACTCTAGCCATGCAAACAAGGTATATCTACAAATTTTTACGGATTATTCCTATATTATTAATAGAAAAACAAAGAAATAGCTAAATTATATACAACAAATCGTACCTCTTCCAGGATCACCTAAATATGAACTATCAAAATATCTATGTAACATTCTTTATTCTCTAGTCAAAAGTTCGCCTCACACCATCAAAAGCGCCACCACCTTCCTCGTCAACATTGACACCGTTAAACTACAACCAGACACAGACACAGTTATGATATCTTACGACGTGACATTACTCTTCACATCCATACTAGTAGACACAGCCAAAGTATTAAAAACGAACTATTTACAAACGACAAATCTTGGCAAGCCACGACACAACTTGACAAAAATGACATCTTAGACTTACTCAGTCTTTGCCTCTTCACTGAATTCTCCTTACAGAACTCATACCATAGACAAATTTCCGGCACACAAATTGTGTCACCACTATCCACCTTCACCGCAGAAATTATAATGCAACAACTCGAATCACAATCAGTCACCAACAACACAGACATCAGACTGAGGAAAAGATGTGTCGACGACATCTTTGCCATTGTCAAGAAAGACAAAACTGAACAAATCCTACAAACCTTAAACAATACAATAATAAACATAACCTTTACTAAAGATGAAGACATGAAAACAACTTACTTTTCTCTGTATCCTACTGACTAGAACAGCACACTAAACACACATATTGTGCCGCAAAACGACCCACACAGACCAAATATTTGATTTCAACATCAATCACCCAACACAACACAAAATATGCTGCATACGAACACCTTTTCATCAGAATCAACACTTATTGTAACACCGAAAAGGCTAAGAAAACAGAACGCAATTACTTATACTCCACATTTATAAAAAACAATTACAATAGAAAATTTATAAACAAAATTATAAACAAAACACAAAACAAAACCCAAACCAACAAAAGTAACGAATAACCCAATGAAACAGTAAAAACAATCACATCCATGCATACATAAACGGAACAACAAAAAAGACTGCATGACTTCTTCGACCATTCAATATAAACGTCGCAAACAAACCAACGCAAAAGACAAATCATATTTTGCCAAACATAAAGACAAAACAACAACAATTCATGATACAACGGACGCAATCTACATGATGCCATTTAAAGATTGCTCAAAACAATACATATAGGACAAAAATCGAAGGAAATCGAAACAAGACTCACAGAACACAAAAACGCCATAAAACGACGAGATCCAAACTCATTAACGACAGAACACACGTTTGCAAATAACGACGCATAGGATTGGACAGAAATGAAAGTACTCGGACGCGCACAGACAAAACACGCACGCAAATTTAAAGACGCTTGGTACAGTAAAGACAACGACACAATGAACAAACATATTGACATACCTATCGTACATATTCACAGCTAAAGAAAAACGACAAAAAATCTACTAACGACACTCAAACCACAGCAACTCACGGTGATAATATATATTATCACAATCCTATTCACAATACACCCAAACCCACAACAACATATTTCACGTCATTCAATCACCTAAATCCACCATTAATAAAATAACTTATCCGGATAAACTTTTATCTTTCTAAAGTACATATATATAAGTTTAAAGAATGGTAATACAGACATGCTTTATTGTAGTGCATGCCGTATATGTATAGATATGTATAGATGGGACATTTTTCACATTTCTTACTTTTAAAAGAAAAGAATGAACCAATGGAACACTGTTATTTTTGAGGTGTTGAACTAGCACTTTCTCTAGTGCTAAACTGACACCCACCGGTGGTGTTAAATAAAAGGTGTTATTATAACACCAATATTGGTGTTGATTTAACAACATATGACCTTAAACATATTGTAGCGTGTTAAATTTACACCTCAACACTTTAACACCTAATTAATAGTGCTGAAATAGCACCTTGTTCTGCCACAAAGGTGCTAAAGTAACACTGTTTTTTGGTGTTAAGTGGTTGGTGTTAAATTAACACCATTAGCAAGAGTTACAATAATTTATAAAGGGCGTTATTTCTGCACCACTCTCCTTGTAAATTCATGGGTGTCAAAATAACACTTATTTTAACTGGTTTTTTAACTTATTTTTATACTTATATCAAACTGCAGCTGTTTTCGTTCTGATACGGATAACAGAACAGTTGACTTAAGCGTTCATTTAAAACAGCTTAAAAACTTCGTAAAAAATAGCGGCAATACATATGTTATATAACCAGAGCTGGATTAAGCATGGATTTTTCCATCTTAAACATGGCTGCGTTTTTAAGGCAGCTAGTTATACCAGACTTTAAAAGGTTAATGCTTGTTTGAGTAACTTTCGTAGCATTCTCAACAAAGGAATCAACAACAGTTTGAGGTACACCTCCTCTTTCTTTGAAATTTAACAAACATAAAGTATTCGCTCTAGATAAATTGTCCTGGTCAGCCATAATGTAAACTCTTCTTCCTGTTCAGGGTCTGTATTATCAATCTCATGATTTTGATTAGCATCGTCGTTTCCCCTATCAGTATTCAACTCTGCGCTGTTCCTCGTATTGCGCAGGATGTTATGTTTTCGAATAAGGTAATTTCTCAATGATAAAAATTTCTTAAACGTCCTGGCACAGCCATCGATGCCACAAACAACATGAAAATTTGGTTCATCACGATGAACACGGCCAATATGTGTTATTAGTAATTGAAGAGAATCTGAAACGAATTCTAGGCAAATATTACATCGATATAGACGCTCCATGACCTAATTCACTTCAAAAATACAATTCACTTCTGAAGAGAGTGCCGGCTCAACTCTGTTACCATATATGGTGTGAAATGTCATATTAGCGACTATATGCAAAACGCGGTAAGATGCTTATAGCCTACTGTCACTGTCACACTGTCCTCATACTTCATTTCATGATTTTCATCGTGATTTCATCTGTTTGTGCAGCGTTGTCAACTAAACGTAAAAGTCAATATTACCAGGCTTAAAGAGCCATTGGATTTAAGTTATTTGGTTTCGACGATCTCCCTTCTTTTAAAAAGGTAAATACAAAGCTTTTTTGAATGTATTTTCTTATGAAATTTCTTGTGACACATACTTCTCCTCGTGCTTATATTTCACGTAGAAATTTTTGTATTTGTGTTTTACAAATTTTTATGCGTTTATGGTCGGATGGATTCCACGTTGCTTAATAATCTTAAGAAGGCAGGGGTAAAGGACAGTGTAATTTCTATTCTTGAAGATGAAGAGGTATGTGTATAAAATTAATTTTATCATGAGTGCGTGAATTTTTGCGTGTTGACGTTGTGACTAGACGACTTTTTGTTGCTTTTGTTAACACTGCTTGGTAAATATTTATTCCATACCAAAAAAACAATACTTGAATTTAGTGGGGAAAATTATTGAGGGAAATAAAGTGTAAAGATAAAAAATGACCGGGTAATCTAAGACGTCAAGCATTATGGGTGAAAATTCAACTGCCGTGGTTCCAAACTACAATAGACTATGAAGTAAAAATACCAAATCATTATTATTGCAGCATGCTAAGTTGATGTTCGAATAAATTACTTCATTTTTTTTATTCCGGTCCGCGGAATCCTGGCAAATGTTAAAGCCAATAAATTAAGCTGTTTTAGTAATTTAAAAAAGTTATTTGGAAAACGTTTTTAACAATGGCTTTGAATGATAGTTCTCACTCGGAAAGCGAGTTTTACTATGCCGACGAGCTTGGAAATATCGTGGAAAATGTTAGCGAAAATATAGCAGAAAACGTAAACATGGATGAAAAGGACGAAAGTTTTACGCATGAAATTCAAGATTACATTATGGCACAACGGCCATAACCGCTTGACAAAAAATAAATACGTTATTTACCGTTTATATTTCGGTCCGAATAGAAAAATAGTTCCTCTCGACATCAAAAACGGCCTTTGGCCTCGGGCCGTTTGGTACATCTGGAAAACATTTTTACATTTATTTCAACGCGTTCTGATTGGTCAAAGCCCAATCTAAACATCAAATGGCTGTTCTTTTTTCGCTTGAATAGACCTCCCCAAAGTCTCGGTCCGTACAAGCGAAAAATCAACTTGACCAGTATCCTCCTGTACGAACCTCTCGCTCAGTCATTAACATATATATATCTTTTTAATTTAATTTTGATTTTTTGTACTTGAATAGTTTGATTCAGCTGGTATTTTAAACAATACATCTGATGAGATGTTGAAGGCATGTGGCATAAAAGGAGGGCAAGTTATACGAATCAAAAATGCATTGGCAACGATTAACAACTTGGACAAGTTTCTGCCAGTAAGAAATGTTCCATCCACCATTGAACCATCCACCCAGAAGATCGTATTATCCACTAGTCATTCCTTTGCCATAAATGACAATGTCAGAAATTCTTCAGCGTCAATTGAAGAAGCTCATTTGTCAACAGGCACACCGTCACCTACAACATCCAGTACACCCCGACATACCATAGCATCTGAATAGAGTGATCAACCTTCACCAAACTTTGTACTTGTGGAAGAAAGGAAACCGAACAAGAACTGGATAAAAGATTTTAAACTTCCTATTTCTGTATGTTAAATAATATACCTCATAATAGGTCACATTCTAATGTTAAAATTTATCTTTTGTGTTTTACAGTTTTCTCCAAGAGTAAATGAAGCACTGCAAGCAGGAAAACTTAATGGAAACCTTAGGGATGAGTTTACTGGGGACATTTGTTCTTCTATTAAAGCTCATTCAATGTTTCCATCCAGAGAAGAAAAACAAAGAGTGGCGTCCATGATTGTAGAAAAATATACTTTTCTAGTCGATTCACTTGGAGCTGGTACAGTAAGTCATATTCATATTATTTAATGCATATGATAATCTTTATAAGAAATCCTATAGCTTTGCTCGCTATCTCTTATAATGTACAGCATGAACTTTCTTCGTTACAGGGGTCATGGTTGAAAGCAATCACTAATCGATTCAAAAACATGCGTAGAAAGAAGACAAATTCAACAACAAGATCTGTTTGTGTGTCTCAAACTACACAAAAGCAGCCAGAAATAAAGATGTTTCTAAGATGTTTTATATATTTAATTATATATATATATTTAACTTTACTTGTTTCATATATTGACTTGTTTATAGTATGTTTTATGTTTTGTATATATTTATATGTGTGAATACATGCTAATAAATTATTTCATTTTTTTTAAATATATTAATTGCTCAGCATTTTTGTGTCGCATGTTTAACTGGCCTTAAATAAAACAATAAGAAAAGGGGTTACAAAATAACACCGAATTTAAGTGTCATTTTGACACCGGACGTTAATGGATAAATTATCACTTTAACAAGTGCTATAATAACACCAAAAATAGGCGCTATTTTAGAACCAAACTCGGTGTTAATTTAACACCAGTAAGAAAATAACACCCGAAATGGTGTTATTCTGTACCTTTTAATTTAACACGACTTTTTAGTGTTAAATTAACACCTTAAAATTTACAGTGAACAATCTATAAAGACGATTAATGAAAATAAAACGTTGACTGACAATTAAAATTCTACAGTTGATTTATTTATTGTATTCAATGTTTCCTGTCTCATTATGTAAGTTAACTATTAACCAAATAAAAGTTAGAAAATTTCCAAGAACATAAAAACAACAAAAGTGATCAAGCAAAACACTTCACAATCCAGGAAAACAAATACTTACCAAAAGCATTGTTAGGAATGGCCACCTTTGGTATTGTGTCACAGCTTCCTAGAGCAAAACCAAGATTGTCGAGAGCTAGAACTGTTCTTCTGTTTCCACGCACGACAGCTTCAACGATTAACTATGAAGAAAAAGTAAGCGGCTTGGACAAATTGCCGAAGTTTAATTTTAAGTTGTATAAATATGTGTAAGTTGCCTACCCTAGATAGACCCATTGTAAAATTAACTGTGACTTGGCCTTTTTTCCACTTAGTTCTGTAATCACCACTTAATGACCACAGTAAAAGATTGTATCCATTGTGAAAATATTCTTGGTAGATATTTAATCTTCCAAAATAATTGTTATACATGTAATACGAAAATGAAAAACACACGAGAGAGTTGTTGCGATAGTTTCCAACCAACCAAGCTTTGCCTGAAATATCTGATCCCAAACAAAGATATCGTCCTACAACACATGAAGAAATGTAAGATATATGTAGACTATATATATAAAGAATAAAAATATCGTCCTACAACAAATGAAGAAATGTAAGATATATGTAGACTATATATACAAAGAATAAAAATATCGTCCTACAACACATGAAGAATTGTAAGATATATGCGGACTTTATATATAAAGAAATATAAAATTATCGTGGTTTAACAAATTCAATAGACAAAATTTTTTAAAAAACCATAATAGCTATAAAATTATCATCTATTTTTGTGTCTTTTAGCTGAATGAAACTACATCTGATTTTAATTTTAAGTAAGTATCTATTTTAGATCCAGCAATATATTTATGACTTTAGATTTTATTAAGAAGTAACTTACTGTTTGACATTTAAAATCTGAGTTGTCATTTAAAGACAAAATCCTCGATACTCTTCGTCATTTTTCTTTTTTTAATTCAAGCAGTTGTACATACAACACTTATTCACTATAAACGCTGCCATCTTACCAATATTGAAGCCTGTAGCATCATAGCGTGGTGGATCCCAATAAGATGAGTATGATGTACGAAGTTTCCAGTCAAAGTCATCGTCACCTTCTACGTTGTGCCATGGACATAAAGTAGTTCCCAGTCCCTTTTGAAAATCACATCTTTTGACTGAACGAAGAAGAAATCGAAAGTTAAACAGCCATATTAGTTGTTATAGAATGTAGGAAAAGTCTGAAATGCATTTGTATGGAATAAAAACACACCACACAAGATAATGCGTTTTTAACTGCAAAAAATGTTGTGTAAATTGTACACAAAAATTTCAGTAAAATGTGTATCCACAGTGACACAAACGCTAGTGTATAGACTACATAAAAGTATTGGTAAATTTAATATTTTGAGTGAAAGGATGAATTACACACTTTTGGGAAAATGTATAACACAAAATTGTAGGCAAAAAAATATAGAAACAGTCAATGCATTTACAGCAACACAGGTTTTAGAGTAAAATTTCTATTAAAACACACTTATAAATAGGTATAAAGAGATAGTCGTTTATTGTGTAGAAAATTACATTGATCAATAAGACACGTATACTACAAGACCAAGCATATATTAATAGTCGTAATACTAACTAGCTGACAGCGTCATGCAGCATATGCGGCGCTAGTCAAAGTAAAGATAACATGCATCGATTATATGTGGATTACTGGATTTTTAAGAACTCGTGAAAATATATTTTCCGTGCAGACATCCCTTCCGGTAAATAACATATATTTAAGTCAATTTATGCGAGTGTGTGATGCGATTTATGTCAATATGGCGTATGATAAGCAGATTGATGTTTCTAAACTTGTTGTTGCCGAAGGACTTTTAGCTATGATTTCTTTAGTACTTGGCGAATCGTGGCCGTTATATGGCAGCGAAATCCTACATTCCTGCAAATATATTTCAATGGACAAAAAATCTGTAGCCAAGTGGTATAGATACTGCCAGTTTTGGCGCAACCCCGGTCTGGGGGGCTGCGTACATAAATCTGAGCGCCCCAGCCCTAGTTCGTTTACACATTACTTCGTACTGTGTGTATACATGGGTCCCGACAAAATTCACACCAATTCTGGCACACCTCACAGTTTGAGAAGGAGTATACACAAATCTAAGCGCCCCAGTCCTAGCTCGCGTACGTACTTCTTGTAATTATGCTAGCATAATGAGAGCGAATGCCAAACTCTGGACAACGGACGTCGGGGTTAAGGCGGTGCCCTCCGCCGGCCGTCAGTCATTTGAAGAAAGACGATTCACAGCGTATATCCAAACTCACAGCGTATATCCAAACAATCGACAGCCATGAGGCAGGGCAAGAACAAGTGCGCGTGGGTGAAGGTCCACACTAGAGAACCGTGTGGAAAGTCATGTATGGGGAAGTATTGTGGAGTGCATCTGCAACAAATCCGGCGTGGCTCGCCGGTGCCTGTCCCATGTCGGGGTTGTGGTATCAGCACGCAGGCAGAGGCGCAACGATGCACAGATTGTGGCCAGCAAGCCGGAAAAGCTCACCTTCGTAGAAGAAGGGCGTATGATAGGTTATATTAACTGAATATTTATTATATGCTAGGCTACATCAATTTAGACAATAGCGTATGATAGGTATATTCACTGATATGAATACTGTCGAGAAACTTCTGCAACTATATGACCAAGGTGTAATCAGCGTAGACGCGTCTTAAGGCTCTTCAACCGCCCGCTGACCCGAGACCCACGCAAAGAAATGTCACTCCGCTTATTCCCAAACCGCGAAAGCGCAGGCCTATCCCCAAACCGCGCAAGCGCTGGCCCTCCGAGCCTACTGATGATGAGATGGACGCATACATCAATGAGCTTCTGGCTGAATTTAAACCACGACGCCCCACAAGGGCTCCTCCCCCACCACCTACGGAACTTAAGTGGGATGAAACGAAGGCAGCTAGAGACCCGCAACGGCCGGGCAAGTATCCCACTGAAGACGGTCTTGAGTATGTGGGGGTGAGCGCACCCACACCGCTCTCCCAGCTGGAACGAGCAGAGCGTCAGAACGACCTTGCTATCAACGTGTACGGTTGGGAAGGCGACGTTGTTCCTTGCCGTCTGAGCAAAGTAGAGAGAGCTCGCAAGACTGTGAATCTCTTCCTCGTCTCGGATTCGAAAAACCCCGAGAAATACCACTACACTTGGATAAAGGACTTCAACCGCCTTCTCAACCGGGAATCGAAGAATGGCCAACGGCTTCACTTCTGTGAGCGTTGCCTTCACGGCTTCACCAGGCAGGATTTGCTGGAAGAGCATAAGCCTGAATGTCGAGGCACTAACCAGGCCGCGGTTGCCATCAGAATGCCAACCCCCGGAAAAAACAACAAAATCCGCTTTGAGAACTACCACAAGCAACTCAAAGCGCCCTTCATAATCTACGCCGACTTCGAGAGTCCGGTCTGCAAAATCGAGGGCCCCGCGCTTAACCCTGAAAAGAGCAAAACCCAGCAAACCTCCCGACACGAGGCATGCGGCTACTTATTCATAGTCGTTCGTTCAGACGGGGAAACGCTGCCACCGCAGCTCTGCCGAGGGCCCGACGCAGCCAAGAATTTCCTGGAAGCGCTCCAAGAAGAAGAGCGTAAGATCAAGACGTTGTTGGCTAACCCCGAGCCTATGCACATGACAGGAAAGGACTGGGGGAGCCACAAGAAAGCCACAAATGGCCACGTCTGCAGCAAGCCCTTCGAAGACGATTCCGTGCAAGACCACTGCCACATTACTGGCAAGTACCGAGGTGCGGCCCACAATGAGTGCAACCTGAAGTTGCGGCTCAGCCAGAAGACGACAACCATACTGGTTGTCTTCCACAATCTGCGGGGCTACGACAGCCACCTGATCATGCAGAATATCGCAGAGACTAAAGGGAAGGTCACCTGCATCCCTAACAACGCTAAGAAATACATTTCGTTCATTATCGGCCAGCTTCGATTTATCGACAGCACCCAGTTCATGCTCTCAAGCTCGGATGGCCTGGTGAAAGCCAGTGACCCGCGAGACATGCGCATCACACCAGACTACGAGCCGAACCTCCAGAGGCGTACCCTCTTGCTCCGGAAGGCGGTCTACCCCTACGAGTGCATAGACGGCTGGCCCCGATTCGACGAGGAAGCCCTCCCGCCGAAGGAGGCTTTCTACAGCAAGCTCTCGGGCGAAAGCATTACCGACGGCGAGTACGCCCACGGAAAAAGGGTTTGGGATGCCTTCGGCTGCGCAAGCCTCGGCGACTACCACGACCTCTACCTTCGGACCGATGTCCTCCTCCTCGCCGACATCTTCGAGAACTTCCAAAAGCTGTGCCTCGAGCGATACCGGCTAGACCCGGCCCACTATTACACGAGCCCGGGCCTAAGCTGGGACGTTCTCCTCAAGCACACAGGGGTTGAGCTCGAGCTGCTCACCGACATCGACATGCATCTCTTTATCGAGAAGGGCCTGCGCGGCGGCATCAGCATGGCAAGCAGGCACTTCGCCAAAGCCAACAACCCCCAGGGTGCCAGACTACGATATGGGGAAGCCCCAAAGCTGGATCCAGTACTACGACGCTAGTAACCTGTACGGCTGGGCGATGTCGCAGCCGCTGCCGACAGGCGCGTTCAAGTGGGTCGCCCAAGAGGATGTGAAGGCGGCCCTGAACCAGCCTGTAGATGCAGAGGAGGGCTACATTCTCGAAGTCGATCTGGAGTACCCAGAAGATCTGCATGATGAGCACAATGCATATCCGTTAGCGCCAGAACGCTTGAAGGTCGACAACGCGTGGATGTCGGATTACCAGCAAAATCTCCTCAAACAGATGTATGGGGGTGGGTCTCACGAGGTCGAAAAGACCCGATACGTCCTGCACTATCGGAATCTGCAGCTTTATCTGCAGCTTGGGATGCGCCTGAAAAAGATCCGCAGGGCACTCCGCTTCGATCAAAGCTTATGGATGGAGCCCTACATCCGGAAAAACACCGAACTCCGGAAGAAGGCAAAGAGTGACTTTGAAGTCAACCTCTACAAGCTGTTGAACAACAGCGTTTTCGGCAAGACGATGGAGAGCCTCCGAAAGCGTGTCGATGTGAAGCTGCTCCGGCCAAGCGAGACCGAGAGATACTCCGCAAACTTATCGCCAAGCCGACATTCAATCGGCATCTCATCTTTGGCGATGCTGGAGACTTCGCAGCCGTTCACATGAATAAAAGCAGTCTGCAGCTCAACCGGCTGATCTTCGTGGGCATGAGCGTTCTCGACCTCTCAAAGCATCTGATGTACGACTGGCACTACAACCATCTCAAGGTGCAGTACGGGTCGTCGGCAGAGCTCCTCTACACCGACACCGACAGCCTTGTGCTGGAGATCCAGACTGAGGACGTGTACGCCGACATGAGTCGCAACGCCGGTCAGTACGACACCAGCAACTACCCCAAAGACCATCCGCTGTTCAGCACAGCCAACAATGAAGGTGCTGGGGGAAATGAAGGACGAGTAGCCCGGGGCGCCTATCGCTGTGTTTGTGGGGCTCAGGCCCAAGATGTACTCTATCCTGAAAGACGATGGTCAGGAGGAGCGCAAAGCCAAAGGTGTTAAAAAGGCCGTCGTGAAAAAGCGTATCAGTCATGCACAGTACAAAGAGGCGCTCTTCAAAGCAAAGCGCTTCCGCCACGTTATGGATATGCTGCGCAGTCGCGGGCATCAGATCTTCGGCGAGCATGTCAACAAGACATCGTTGAGCCCTCTGGACACGAAGCGCTGGATCGCGGCCGATGGGATCTTTACCCTAGCATACGGACATAGGGAAGCTGGTGCGCAGGTGAAGAAATAAATGCGTGATTATGATGTTATAATTACAGTAGAAGAGCTGCTCCACGGCTAAGCGCAAGATAGTACCTGGTAGTGAAAGCTTTCATAAAAGCGTGACAGGACCCCATTGACTAAGCCGGCGGTGTTTCGGTCTCAAAGGGCACCACTTGGAGCTCCTCGCGCACAAACGTGCACTTGGGCCCATCGCTCAAATAATACAACACGGGCTTCCCGCCCTCAACCACAGCCCGCTCGACCTGGTGGTCACACTCCAGATAGGATCAGTCGCCCTACACCGTTCGCCAGCCTCGAGCTCGCCAGGCGCATACAAATACCGCACCATAACATCCGATGGCAAGCGTTGCTTTTTGAAACCAACTGGACGAAGCGCCGGCGCAACGGGTTCGGCCTTAACGCTCTTCTTCCGAATCGCAAGGGAGGGCTTTTCGCCCGTCAAACGAGTAGTTTCATTATTGAGCGCTTTAAGCACCTCAGGTGATCTTGATACCTATTCTTTGTTCCGAATTCCGGGCACATTCAGCTCGCGATGATACTGGTAACCGAACAATCCCTCCGCCAAAGTTCGGTTAAACCGTTCTACGATCCCTTGATCTCTATGAATCCCGACCTTACCCCGTCGAATCGTGATACCATTTTTATCACACGCTTTTTGCACAGCCCCGCGGAACTCCGAGCCAGGGTCAACTTGTAAAACTTTAGGCCATCGAAGAGGCCCACGGGCATAAATAGACTCTAACACCTTCCCAACCCTGGTCGCTGTCTTGTCTGTGATTGTCTGGGCCTCCTTATACCGACTTGCTACGTCGACGACCGTCAATGCGTATTTGAATGTGCGTCTTCCGATTCGATCGTGAGATAGATACAAGAGATCGGCCTGGTGGACCTCATTCGGGGTGCTTATGCTTAGGTCGGGGGATTGCACTTCGCGCTGGTGCGGGCAGGTAGATCTGTCAGATGGCCTGTTTTGTTAGCCATTCATGAGCCACATCATCGCCGACGCCATCCTCTTTAGCCAGCTTTGGGATAGCAGCACGGCCGCGCCAGTACCCCGCAGGACTGTAGTAGACCTCTGCGAGGCGTTCCTCAACGCTTCCGTCCGTAGAAACGCGACCATGCCTTGTCGGGACGACGGCTTTGACACTACGTGTCGTAGGCGACTTCCTAGCTTCAAAATCGTCAGGACCACCACCAGTGATTAGAGGCATGAGGTCGAGCACCTTCTGATCATTGGCTAGAGTGTCTTCGTCGAACATCCCCCTTAATCGTTTTAAAAGTCCCTCAACAGAACCGTCTTCTATAAACAGCCGCCCCGCCAGGACAGCATGGCGCCCGCAGACAGCCGTTGCTCGACTTTGCACTGCAAACGTATTCGTAACCATGACCCGCTCGGGAAAGGCCTCCAGAAATTATCTGCGCAGCTGAGCAGATATTTTCAGCGAGCGCACGTCCAAAGCTATCGAAGACAAGCACATGCGTTCCAGTACAACAAACAGTTAGCCAGTGGTGCCCCCCTTCGACCGGATCATGGAGAGGGTAGATGTTGTCCGTGTTGCTGATGCAAAACTGCCCATCGTGGAGATGTGAGGCAACGAACCGTCCTCGGGCTCCCTCGGCCTTCAGGAGGCGTTCGATGTCAACGCTCAAGAGCGGGTAATCCATCTTCCATTCCTTATACCATAATTAAGCCAGCATAATATATGCTATCATAGTTACAAGAAGCACAGCGGGAGTCTAAAAAGCACAAGGGTGCTGCTTGCCAGCATTAATCAGTTCTCGATGATGCGCCTGTAAACATTCTCGAGGTGTTGGAGCGCTTTTATAGTAAATGGGCAGCGACCGCAATGAGCAATGCCGCCTTTTGCCCACACCGCGCACGGTAGGTTCTTTTTCCCATGTCGACAAACACTTCCCGAGACATTGCTCTCTCCATCCCTCTAACGAGACATCGGCAATATCGCCGAACTCCAGAAGTGGAAAACCTCTCATTCACAGAGTGGAGTCATGGCTGATATGCAGCCGGTTCAGCACATCCTGAGTCTTATGGAGAGCTCAGTCGGGAAGTTGCAATACGCGGATAGTGACTTATTCGGCTTACAGAAGCTGGATCCCAAGAAGACTTTGAAAGCTCTCCCCTTGCAGACCTACTCCAATGGAGTAGACCATTGCGTTGGCTATGCCTTTGCAACAAACACAGCAGGCGGAGCCGGCCATGACTTTAATGCCGATAATACCCTCAAAAGGGCGCCTGGTGTCCAGCTCTCTTCAACGAAAGCCTTCTCGAATACGGTGCAAGAAAATATTGTCCGTGTCCTCAGCGGGAACTTTCCGTATAAGTTTCGCCCATTCCTCCCCCTCTTCTCCAGTGGGGATAGTTGGCTGCCTCCGGGCACACAGGTGAAGATTCGCGTCGATCTCCCACAAGGCGATCTCAGTCGCTACATGATCATTTCTAACAAAGGGGGCAGTGTGGATAACGCAGACGCTATCAGCAGAATACGTATAGAACTTCTGGAGCTCGACTTTGTCTACCCCACCTATCGCATGAAAAAAGACTACAGACACCAGGTCTCGATCGCTAAGGAGCTGTATTTCCACACCTGGTGCCCCAGGGTAGTTCAGAAGTCGTTGAACGATGACGTTGGCACTCTCGCGCTCCTACACAATGCCCCGATTCCCAGGAAGATGATTCTCTTCTTCACCGACTCGAGGCTCGGAGACGCACCAGGACTTAATCCAAATGCCGCCGCCGACTCCAGTAACCAATTGGCTATAATCCACGCCAACTTAAGCCAGCTCCGCATCATCGTGAACGAGCAGAACCTTTTTGATCACCCCTTGAAGATCCCGTGGCAGTGCAGCGCGGGTGAAGCTAACCAAACTGGAGCCACTTACTTCTACGACCCCAATAAAAGGTCCTCTTCCTACCTGAGAGGCTACAACTTGGTCCAAGAGTTCTTCGGAAAGACGTACGGCACGGAAGTGCCCATCACGGCCGAGGACTACTGCAACAACTGGTTCATGATCCCAATCAATCTCAATCTGGACCCTGTCACAGATAACGAAAAAGCGCGGGGCAATCTCACAATCGATTATCAGTTCACGGCAGTGGCGAACAGTCCTATTGCGCTCCCCTCCGACGCCACCACGTCAATCAATGTGAACCTTCTGTGCCTCGATCAGTATATGTACACGATGTCGAAAGAGAAAGGCATCAGCTGGAGTGTCGTCTGAGTTATACAGTAATTACATATGCTAGCATAATTACATTTCACATGTAGAGTTTTGTTGTCATAGTGTAATTATGCTAGCATAATTACAAGAAGCAACATGGAAGGTGGTGATCTGAAAACAAGCAACCGCTATTATCGCCGGGGTGATCTGAAAACGAGCAACCACCGTTATCGCAGGGGTGACCTCGCGACGACAAACTGCCAATATGGCGGGTTTCTTCCCCTCCTAAGCATGTTAGGCCTGGGGGCCGTTGTGTCGCTGTTGGAGCTGCAAAAAGCGATGTAAGACCCGATCAAGTCACAAATGCTCATGCAGCGTGGAGGCTTTATTTGGGCATTGGTGGGGTTGAGCCTGCTCCCCATGCTGATGGGAAAGGGGACGGGAGACCGGACCGCCAACCAAATGAAGACGCACCCGCCTGAACGGCAAACTGCAATCATGATCCGCGGGGGATTGGCTTTCCCCCCAAGGCTGTTGGGAGCCAACATCAGGATAGCCCCTTACACGAAGAATGCCGCTATCCCCTTCTCCCTCAGTGCCCTCAGCTCATTGGGTGACAATGTCGTTGACAGTATTTTCGGCGCGGGTATTCTTAACGGCAACATGTCTCACCCCTCCGACGACTACCGCGTGGAATATGTGCTATCCCGCGAGCAGACGACGGGCGGTGATGCAAAAAGATTGAGGGCTGGAAAGACTGGCAAGACGACGGGAACAGTTCGAAGAGCACGCGCAGCGCCAAGGACGACAACAAGACGGAAGACGGGGGTGTCGAAGCGCGCAGCGCCTAGAAGAACAGCAGGGACACGACGGAAGACCACGGGGCGAGCGAAGAATAGCAGTTTGGATGAATTCAAGAGCATGCTCCTGGATGCTGGAAAAAGCACGAGCAAGAGAGCAGCGAAACGCGCAAAATCGAGGGCCATTTCTTGGTTGAAATCGTCAACCACAAGTTTGGCACACAATGTCCTTGCTTCGGCGCCCGCGGCGGCTTCACGTTTCCATCAGCCCATCAGCAACAGCATCTCCCAGGCCATACGGGCTGCCTCCTCGACCCCGACGAGCGCCCACATCGGCCAGTCGTTCAACATTTAGAGCGGTGCATATCTTTCCGAAATGGATTTTTGGCTGTTATTCCCCGGGTCAGTCGTCCCGACGCCATCAGAGGCGCCCGCACCTCCTGTTCTTCCAAGTGTTATCGCGCACGATACTAGCACTAGTGGGAGCAAATACCCGCTATCCCCGGGCTTGAATTTCACAAAAAAGAATGATTTGACGAGCTCCTGCCTTCACTCAAAAAATGGGTGCAGAAAGTTTTGCTCTTGGGTCAGAGCAATATGGGCAAGAGCTTCTTCATGAAACGGCTCCTTGCTCACGTTCGTCCGAAAAGGCTGTACGTCATTTCGAACACCTCCGCTGATCAATATATCCAACCTAACACGGTCTTGAAGCATTATTCCGTCATGCCTGAATCGATCGAGGATGCGAGTATAGAACCGGAGTCCTACGTCATCATCGAAGTCATGAATCTCAAATGCGGAACGCTGAGGGAATGCCTCTATAAGTTCTTTACGATGCATAGCCATCATCTGAAATTGAACGTCTTCTTCCTCTCCCAGAGCTTCGACAACATAAAGGACATGAAGGTTAACACAAACATTCTCTATCTCTTCCGATTCACGGATAAGTCGAACGTGAAGTGGTTTCTTAATTCGCTCTTCGGTGGCACGGGCAATAAACAGGCTCTCATCTTCAAACTGTACGAGAAACGTTTGACCAGCTGCGAGCGCCTGATCCTCGCTATGGACAGCACCAATCAGCGATTCGCCTACTATTGCGATGAAAGATCTGTTGCGGTGGACTTTCAGTGAAAGTTTTGCTTTCTCCGTCATTACCAGAAAAATCTGAACAAGAATTAGAGAAAGAAATTCGGGAGGGATATCACCAGATTTTTTAGCGTGTGTTTGAAGAAAATGGAACATATTCTAGTCCGGATCGTCGATGGTCTACCACAGCGGCTTGAGTGGGTGGCGGATGGTTATCTGTCGGCCTTCCTCATCCCAAAGGCGCGGCGGCTGGAGGTCCTCCAGTTTATCGAGAGCCAACCCGAGCACATTATCAAACGCGCTATGTCCTTTATGGAGGTCTTGGGTTATCTCCCCGAAGAGACCCGAGCGCCGTAGCACCAAATTGCCACCGGAATTTCATCTCCTTCCTGCGCAATGCATTGCAGTATATACCAAACTATCCCCTTGCTAAGTTGAGCTTGCTGGAGCTAAAAAAACACCCAAGCGTAAGAGAGCTCTATGCCTTGTTTGAGGGCCAACCTGAGCTTATCAATGAAGAGTCGGTCCTGAGTGCGGTCAAATCCAGGTTGCTGAACTATTCTGAAGATACAGGCCAAGTTCGCGACAGCGTCGCTGATGTCCGTTTGAAAAACCAACTTGCGGCGCTCACTACAACCGCGCCCTCTCTCCAGACTCGGAAAGAGGGAGAGTTCGATCACTTGCTGCTGCTCGTCTTTGGCCGCTTTCTGGCGGGCCAGAAGATTCCCGAGGCCTTTCTCAAAAGCAACTATTTCACTCCGCGTGCGCAGCTGGTACAATTGTTTACGGAAAACACTCAAGGGTTTGAAGCCAATCTCAGGGAGCCTCAGGCGGATCAGGATATGCGTCTTGCCATTGTGACTGACTATCGCGTGCTTGTGAACAACGTAAACCAACAGTTTCTCAGCAGGTATCCCTTTGAGGTGGTCGCTAACGCCGTAGTCGACTTCGGCTATCCCCAGTTTCGCGTGGCGAGGCAAAAGTTGCAGGAGATCAAACAGCATGCTCTTGCGGTACCGGGGTCAGGGCAGAAGCTCGGTGATTTGGCGGCCTTGCTTGAGACCTACTCCAAAACACGCGAGAGCAAACTTATAAATTATGATCGTCATTTTATGCCTGGAGGTATCAGAGGCAAGATGACTAGCGATGCTGCCTTTATTAATGCGCTTCTCATTAACAGGAGCCGCATCATTAGCAAGTGTCTTGCTATATTGAACGCTCAGGACCTTGTTTGAATGTTTTATGGACTTGGCATTTTGGACGACCATTTGGGATAAGACGGCGGCTGCTTCGGTGATCAGTAATCAGGAGGAGCAGCTTGCTCGTTTGCAGGATGATGTCGTGCAAAACAAAACAAAAATTGGGAATGAGGATACTGAGGGCACTCTCTCTCATACTGTCGCACAGCTGAAGGTAAACAAGCTCGACCTCCATGGCCTTGATGACCGTTTGAGTGGTTTACCGAGAATTGCTACAGGAACGCTGCCTGATCTCGTACGACAGGACGTTGTGGTGGCGCGGTTTGGGGAGGGTGCGAATCTGAAGAATGGCAAGATACAGATTCATATGAGCAAGATACAGATTCATATGAGCAACGGTAAACTGCGAGAGGCTTGGGGTTAGAACTTCCATCTCTTCTGGCGGGGTGAAGGCACCTCTCTTTTCACTCGCTATGCCGCTGTCCCGCGGGTTGTCTCGGACCACCGGGGCACATACGGATACAATTTGAGACGTACCTATAGGGTGTATTATCTTGAGTTCCCCTGATACATATCATCAGCATGCCGTTAGATTTGTGTATGACCCAAGCAGTCGAGATTTGGCTCCAAGCAAGGAAACCTCCTGTGACGAATTTAACGCGCTTCCGCTGCCAATACGATGCCGAGCAAGATCCACCGAGCTCGATCTCTGTATGGGAATACGCTTTTGACCGCCCCAACCGTACGCAGCTGGAGACCGTTCTCACCCAAGCTCAGGCCACCAAGCGGGTTGAATATCATCGTTCCGATGGCGCTGTGAGGAGGGTGGGACGCCCTCCTATGCGTATTACTCTGCAGGCGGAGAGGGGGGCCGGCGAGATGACATTCCTTTCACGAGAAAACATGAGCCAACAAAATTGACCTGCTCACTGTGTGACTTCATAGCTCAGTTGTTCAGAGCACTGCACTCAAATCCCGTTGAGTCACCTGAATTTTTCAGGCTCATGAGACAATTGCTTAAATTGTCCAGCAAAGTGCGAAGATCATATCTTCATTTAATTTCAAACACCGCACTGCATAAAAACACTTTCATATTATGCTAGCATAATAACAAGAAGTAAGTACGCGAGCTAGGGCTGGGGCGCTTAGATTTGTGTATACTCCTTTTCAAACTGTGAGGTGCGCCAGAATTGGTGCGATTTTTGTCGGGACCCATGTATACACAGTACGAAGTAATGTGTAAACGAACTAGGGCTGGGGCGCTCAGATTTATGTACGCAGCCTCCCAGACCGGAGTTGCGCCAGAACTGGCAGTATCTATACAACTAGCCCTAAGGCGCCATACTATTATTTACTTTATCATAAACAAATTTTGGGGCTTTTAGTTTATGATCATTGATCATTCATTCATTGGACAGTTATACTACACATTGCTTAAGATTTGAAAAAAACATTGATTACATGAGAAGCTGTTTACTATAACCTGTGATTTTGAGTCTTTTCTAATCCATGAAGCTTTTTATTTTGACAATTTGACTGGAATGGTATTAAACCTGAGTATTTCACATACATGAAATGTTGTCCCATGTCACATAATGTCCCCTTTTCTAACTGAACGCCTCATGTAGAGATGTCAAGGTGTGTTGATCTACGGCTCATACCAGATTGTTTGCCATAAATTACAAAGGGCTATTGATGTATGAAAAGCATTTTCTATAAAGTAAAAATGTCTTCCTATGTATGCAGATAAACCTTGAAATTTGGCAAAACAGCAAAGTATTTTTCATGATCACTAGGTAATTTTTCTGATGATCATTATAATTTCTAAACTAAATTATTTCAGATTTACATTTAAACGAGCTTTGATCATATGAAAAGATATTTATCATAACCAGTAAGCATGACACATGAACCAATTTTAACATTCATGTAATTATATAATTAAAGACATGTTGGTTACATTCTGTTTGTATTTGCAAATACAATGCTACTAGTGATTGCTATATAGCACACCTTGCATATACTTACAGAAGATAATAGTCTAGTGAAATGCTTAATAAACATTGATGGCATTAAGCTGTCCTTAATTGCAAATTTTCACTCTGATAAATTTTGCTTAATCTTTGGCAGAAAAAAATTTTGAGTTTTTTCTCAAAAGGTGAATTTGCTGGCAATGTATGTGGAGATGGGTAAAGGGTTACAATAAACTTGCATGGTTTGAAGTCTGAGCTTTTCTATATCCATGAACTGTCATTTGTAGTACCACATTTCTAATTTGACTCATTACATAGACGATTGAATCGGGGTCTTAGGGGGGTCTATGCCTGACAATTTGGTAGAAATTTTTAAAGACAATGTCTTTTTTGGAATAGCATTATTGTAAAATAAATTTTACGTTCCTAGACATGCTAATGAGCCTTATATTTGGCATGATAATGAGCCTAAATATTTGGCAAAACATTCAAGTATTGTTCACTTTAATTTTTTTGAAAAAAACGTAAGGAAAATGTGCTGTTTTTACGCAAAAACGATGCTCACAAAATATATTTTGTATTGCTCTAAAAAGCTGAAAATGGCATTTTCAAGGCTCTTAAATTCAAAATTTCTCAGGGGAGAATGCCTCAGACCCCCCCGAGGTGCGGAGCGCCTCCGACGTTTTATGACATATGTTTGAAAAATCCTAGATCCGCCCCTGTGCGAAATGATCACAATTCTTGAGCTGATAAAAATTTGTTTGTAACAAAACGATAATTTCAACTATAATTGAACTAAAGCTACATTTTTACTATGATTTTCACGAATGAACTTCGACATCTTACATTGAAATTTTGTACTCGTATACATAGTTCAACTTAAATTGATGAATTTATTTTTAAGGTAGATCAACGTTTTGACATGCATGACATAATTCAACTTTATATTGAAGTCAAAACGATGTCTAGTGTGCTTGTCGGGACACCTCTTCTTTATGTAATCAAAATTCCAAAGTAATATGAGTGCATAATTGACGAAAAACCGCGAGTTGTAACTTTCTCAAACAACTTATTCTATATATATGATCTATATGTTCATACCAATTTCCAAACATGGTTATACTTACTTATGTTAATGTTAATATGAACATAGCATGTTGAAGTTTTTCCACCATACAGAAAGTGCTTGTACGGAATTTCGTGCTGTCCTATTAAGAACGACTGTGGAGAACTAATGTTCGGCTTTTCCTCTCCTTCTTTTATGTATTTATGAGAACAAGTGAAGTTTTCCGGTTCACTCCAAGATATATTTGCTACTCGTTTCCAACCTTGGAGCGTTTTGTTCACGACATTCTTTGCACACCAACATTTACCTGAAAAATTTTATTTAATAAATAAAAATAGACATGCATGGTCGTATTACCATATGTAGTAGGAGAGTCATGTATAACAAAGTCGTTCGATCTGCATAAGAAACAGACCATAGCAAGCTACATCCATTAACGATGAACGTAGTCACGGAATAAAACTAAAAAACAGTTTAATTTTACTTTTTAGACTAAAAAGCCAACGACTTAATCATTTGATCTTGCTAAACTTGACTCTTTAGTGAGGAAATCCATGTTTCTGATACAGCAATGTTACCAATGTACGTAGGTCTGCAGTTTTGCATACGCAATAGATATGTAAAAAAATACAAGTATACCTTTTTCTATCTTAGGTTTTTGCAAATTAAATCTTCTCCAACAGTAAACTTTTATATGAAAGTACGTATGTAAAGGCAAATGTAAAATATATAGATTACCTTCAAGTGGACAAATTTCACTGAACATCCTGAATCGTTCCAAAAGATAATTTTTCTCTTCGATGCAACCATTAGTTAAAGACAAATTTCCGCACCTTTCTTCCAATTTATTTTTTTCTTGAACAAACACATTCCATTTATCTTCACAAAATTCAAACTTTTTGTTCCATCCCGATTTGATGGCCAATTTAAGAGTCACGGCCAGCATCAACCACAAGATGACAACAAAACGCATCATTTTTTATCCTTTAAACTACAATTGTATGGAAAATCCTAGCTGCACAAGTTTGATGATAGAACACTGAAAACATACAACTATTATTATCGTAAATATCAAAATATCGAAGCATTTGGTTTATATTTGGTTTATCTGTTTTTTATTTGCTGATGGATAAAAACTTTAAATGCAAACCGCAAACGCAGAAATTATATACGTCAATCCATACACATCTCCTTGCATCTCTCTTACAAGCGCGGAAATTAAGCCTTGTTTTTAGAATTTATTGGTTTTACAGCACACACAAAAGTGGATTAGGAAATTGTTTTTGGAAATGAATAAGAAATTTGGGTAGTAAAAATTTTTGGTGATGAATCTCATCTTTATCACGAATTTTTTTGCTGTAGATCATGTTTGTTTATGCATACAGTATCATCTATTATATAGTAGGAAAATATCAAAAAATTGATGGCGTTATTGATTTTTTTTATATGTCGTCCGCCGTGTCTTTTATTGAGGGACAACATGAAGAAAATCAACCAGTCAGTTTAAAGCTTTTTCTATTATTTGCTTACTAAATCTTTATCTATTTCTAAATCTTGTGTATGAATAGGAATACCAAAATATATTTTCTAAATTTTAAATAGAAACGGAGTTTTTTTTTCATAAACTTTTTAAAACTGTTTATTCCGTCGAAAAATTACGAATACAAATATCTAAATACAAAAACAAAAAAGTAGCACGGATCTGCTGATAACAACTAAATTAGAATTACATTTGCCTATGCTTCAATCTTAAGTTTGATCATAAAAATGTTCTGTCCTTATAAGAAACAAGCCTAAATGATGTCTTCGAGGTGAATGATTCTCTTTAAACGACTGCACCCTTACATTCTTTCATTGTTTACAAAAAATCCATGTCGATGTTGCCTTCGTAGCTTCAAGCAAAAACTTAAGATGCAGAAACAGAATATAGAGCTTATAGCAATTTAACCATCATGAATTTCAATGGTACATTATCAATGTTTCATCTAAACTAGAAATCTAATCATAAATTATCATATCTTAATATCTACTTACCTTTTGTCTTCAGACAATTTCCCAACGATAATGAAGCCAATTTAACGATTCGGTGATACACCAATAATAATTAAACATTTAAAATACACGACAAATTTCTTTAGAGCAAACATGTTTAGGCATACTTTATGAGTATTGTGCTCCTACGAAATTGTACACCAATAATGTTGAAAAGCAAGCGTTCAATATTAATCTTGCAGCATGTGCTTCCATCTGTTCCGTTGATATGTCCATTGCAATTCAATTTTAGTAAAATATTTCTCAACTAATAAAGGAGAATTTTACAAAAATAATCCATGATGTATAACTTTTATAGTTTTCACATTTTCCCAATCTCCTATAACTTGATGAAATGTTACAAGTATAGAAAAATTTTCTGTCTTCTATTCAAAATTCGTTACCGATATTGGTTTCTGCGACCCACCCCCGCCCTCCTCCAACAAAAAAAATTGACAGCGCGCCATTGCACCATATGCTTGCCCTAGTGATGAATGATAACTTGTACAATAAACGATAAAAGAGCACAATGGAGAAAGTCTTTTTAGTGAAAACATATAAATATTATCATTATAAATCTTATTTTGACTGTCGTTACTGCAAACGTGTGACTTCTTGGGACTTTGGATATTTAAATATATATGGCAACAATTTTTCGTATTTTACGCTACTTACTTTTTGCTAGAAATGAGCACTTTTATTTCTGTTCATGAAATAATACAAATCATAGTCATATTACCAATTATCATGTTTATATTATAAAAGGAAAATTTTTAAATACTACGAAAATGTCAAATATTAAATATATCTAAACGGATACCTGCTGAAAAAGGAACGCTACAATCTTTCGAATTAAAAGTCATTCATGTTATTCCAGTAATCTTTCCCCCTAAATAAACTTTTAGCTCAGACAACTCATCTAACATCTCGTTAAGTTAGAAGAAGCATAAGCTCAAATCAAACTTAAGCATCTTCATCGGAGATGCCTCTTTTTTCAGAGTACATGAAGAGAATTGGACCGTTTGAAATAGAATTCATAAATTCTTGGTCATTTGCTCACTGACAACTGGCAAAAGCAATAATTTAAATTCAGAGGTTATTTGCTGATTATTGAATGGAATTTTCAATTTCATTGTCTGCTTCAGGTAATGGACAAAAAGGATGAAACATACAACGACAAACAAAGACATCTTGCAAACTCAACATAGCTATGAGCTCGATGGAAGAAATCAAGACACAATAATTCATTTGGTGATGTTTTGAGTCTATAAATTGTCTCCTGGGAAATGTTAACAACAAATGCAATATAAAGAATTGCAGCATGTGCTTCAATCTGTTCCGTTGATATGTCCATTGCAATTCAATTTTAGTAAAATATTTCTCAACTAATAAAGGAGAATTTTATAAAAATGATCCACGATATATAACTTTTATACTTTTCAAATTTTCTCAATCACCTATAACTTGATGAAATGTTACAAGTATAGAAAAATTTTCTGTCCTCTATTCAAAATTTGTTACCGATATTGGTTTCTGCGACCCCCCCGCCCTCCTCCAACAAAAAAAATTGACAGCGCGCCATTGCACCATATGCTTGCCCTAGTGATGAATGATAACTTTGTACGATAAACGATAAAAGAGCACAATGGAGAAAGTCTTTTTAGTGAAAATATATAAATATTATCATTATAAATCGTATTTTGACTGTCGTTACTGCAAACGTGTGACTTCTCAGGACTTTGGATATTTAAATATATATGGCACCAATTTTACCTATTTTACGCTACTTACTTTTTGCTAGAAATGAGCACTTTTATTTCTGTTAATGAAATAATACAAATCATAGTCATATTACCAATTATCATGTTTATATTATAATAGGAAAACTTTTAAATACTACGAAAATGTCAAATATTAAAGTGCTTATCTCACAATTTTTTTTTCGAATTTTCGTATTGCTTCTTCAAAAGTAATCTAAAACTTATATTACAATTTTTTCATGCGCAGCGTTGTTTTTGAATTATTATTGATCAAATATGAAATTTGACAGTAAAAGTTGATAATTGGCATAGGGCCTGGATCAAGTCTCAGTGACGTAACTTAAGGAACAAGTCAAGGGCACAGACTAGATACATATCTATCTATTCTGTGTCAAGGGCTTGTTGTTATCAACGATTAGATGGCGGAGTTGAATTCTGATTCGGAAAGCTCTCATAGTTCGCAATGTGATTCGGAGTATGATTATATTCCAGGTTATGTGATCGAGGACGAAACAAGGAACATTAATGACCAGGAATATAATATAATAGATGAAAATCACGGCGAGTCCGAGTCCTATCTATACGCTGATGAACCAATGGCCGAACAAGCATGGTATGAAGACTACGTGGAAAAGTCAAATGAACATAAAAAGCAACTTGAAATGCTACAAAAAAGACTTGATCACACAGTTGAGTTGAGTTCTTGGTGAGTAATAAAATTTCTAATTTCAATTCAACTTATGAAATGTATTTCAATTCAGGTTTCAAGTTATGAAATATAGACATAAACGAGCAATTATCTATTCAAGATTACCATCGCTTTTTTTTTTGGGCAAAAATTGTTAAAAGATGCTCGATTACAATTTTTAATGTGATTTTCTTTATTGATCAGGTGCAAGTGTGGTTTTTGTCAAGTTACACTTCTTCAGAATCCTCTAGAGGCCTGGTGCTGCCAAGAACTTAAGTCTGTAGCTGAAAGCTTAACACACCAGTCGGTTCTGGCAGATCTGTCAACTATTCCATGTTGTGTCACTCTACACCCAGGTTTCAGACCAGTTTGTTTGGAAAAGTGGTCGCTAAAAATGGCTGCTAGGAAATACAAAACCAGAGAACAAAGACGATTCAGAGAAACAGGATCTGAAAACATGTATGATAGCATATTATGTTATTTCCCAGTATTTAAGTATATTTTAGTGTTATGACACATTAGTAACGATTTGGCTTTATATTCAGGTTTTTACGATGTGTTGCATACAGAGAATTCACATCTATGATTTATGGATGCTTAGGAGAAGAAAGAAGACCATTACCAGCATGTGCATACCATGCAATAAGATCAAAATTTAATGATAAAAAGTTGGAATTTAGAGGGTACGAAGAAAATGAAATAAATGAGTGAAGTGAAAATTAAGTTTTGCTATTTTTTGGGCAATCTGCCACATGTTTGTGACCTTTCATTGGCTTCTTGCATGTCAAACATTTTGGCTGACTATTTTCTTTTGAAACTGCCACATTTGACTGACAGCTGAATGGCACACTGGTAGCTGCTGGCATGAAACAAAAACATTTTTATTATTTAAAATGATTTTCAAACCATGTTTAGCTACAACATGTTATATAATCATTATTAATTACCTGGAATTGAGGGGGGACATCATTGACAACAATGCATTTTCGAAGGACCTGTTTTAGTAGCACCTCAGATCTGGTTTGCTTTTGCAGCATGACATTCATTGGTGGTGGAGACATTTCTTTCAAAAGATTTTGTGAATTTGATAATGCGTCTTTGTCTTTTATTGACAGCATCACACTCTCAAATAATTCATCCACATACTCTAAAAAGAAATTATTGTCGTATTCAATACTATGAAATGATGCAAAGCAACACATTTAGCAACAACTTACCAAATTTGGGTTTAACTCTGACATCCCTCACAGTTCCTTCACCTTTTTAAACTTTGGATACACCACATTTATTTGGGAACTGCCATCATTCTTCATCTTTACATCACGCCTTAAGTTGTTGTTGAAGTGGATGGATGCCAAAATGTGTCTTAAACAATAAAGACTTGTGGAAGTTGCAAAACAACTAACATTGTCACATAGGAAATTTTCGCCCACCTGCAATACATTCCAACATAGGAATAATGAATCATTTTTGGAGCAAAATGATTCAGGACAGAATGGAATCCTTCCAAACAACTTGTTTGAGCAACTGGTGAAGCCTGTTGAATTGACTTCATCAGCTGTGGGTGTAACAATTTAGCACAAAGCTTTTCATGAGCAACTGAACCTTAAACATTACAACAAAGAATGATGATAAATTGTTAGGGAAGTTATCTTTAAATAATGCCTTCACAAACCTTCTAACAAATATTCCCTTGGTTTAATATCAGGGCCATGAAAACAACTTGAAAACAGTGGATCATCCAAATTGGTGTGCTTGTCTACTATGTAACTCAGGAAAGATTTGAACTTTGCCATCACCATCATAAGTAGAACAAGCACTCCAATAGAAATGGTTGCCACAGGGTTTGACCACTTTTTCAATTCTTCACAACCTTTTTCTTTGCTAAGCTTTGTCATTATTTTGGTTAATTCTACAAAAATAGTACCAATAAATTGGCTATTAATGACATGCAAATCCATACTCCTCTCAAGATTTTACATCTTAAATTCAGCTTACTTTTTTTTAGATGCCATAAATCAAAATAGTGCTTCACATGTGCCATTTTCTCCCTCATATGTTTAATAATAGATATGAGTCTATCAGATATAAATGTTGATAATTGTATACCACTGCTTGAAAACAGCCGAATACTTAGTCGGTGTCCATTGAGCGCGTTTTCTTGCAACAAAATTCACCCAGATTTTACGTCTTCGCTTCGCTTCAGGACGCTCATCACCGTAAAATGGTATACGGAGGAGAGAAATTCCTTCCGCAGAATTTGCTCGGTTTGAACAGCGGAAAACTGCACATCTATCAGGCATTTTGATGCAGAGTCGTAGTAGATGAAGTAGAAATTATAGCAAAAATCACACTTCAGAAAACTTCCTGTCCTTATGTTACGTCACATACTTCTCGATTCAGGCTCTCATCAAGCAAATTGAACGCGCAGCAATTTTCTCCATTTTTGCCGATTTTCAGAAAAAAAACGCATTTATCTCATAAACGAAGCGATCAATCAGAAAATTGTAAAATAACTTTTACAATAATTTTTTTACCTCAATCAGAAAATTCAAAAAGCAATAATTTAAAAATCGGTAGGTTATTTGTTGAATATTGATTGGAATTTTCAATTTCATAATCTGCTTCAGGTAATGGACAAAAAGGATGAAACATACTACGACAAACAAAGACATCTTGCAAACTCAACATAGCTATGAGCTCGATGGAAAAAATCAAGACACAATAATTCATTTGGTGATATTTTGACTCTATAAATTGTCTCCTGGGAAATGTTAACAACAAATGCAATATAAAGAATCTAGGTCCGAATGAAAATTAAAAAACAAATTACTTTAAAATCGGTTTTAATCTATAAAATAAACTAAGACATAACAAGTAAATTTAATGTACTTCATAAAACTTCTAAACATCCATGTTTGAAGTTCAGAAGTTAGTTGTTTGAAAGTAGTGCAATTTTTTATGATATAATTTAGTTTATATTGCAGTAAGTGTTCATTGTCCTTTGCCTAAAATTTAAAAATTTAACCTAAAAAATTCGTATTTTTTGCAAAATATATAAGATCAATGCAGATCACGATTCTGAGAAATAAACCAAATAATTTCTCCTTCAGCGTTTCAGTTTAAAATTAAGATTTATTTTTTAGAGATGATTTCTTATCTGTAGCTTGATCAAACATGATTACGCGACTACAAATAATCATCCAAGTTAGTCAGCTGAAATTTCAATTGAAAAAACCGTTTACTTTGATATTTGTAACTAACTCAAAATCCTAAAGTCGCCTTAAATCTTTGATGGATATCAGTGGCATACAAAACATGAGGACCTAGAGGGACATTATGAAACATGTACGTTTGGGGATAATTTATAACATCAAATCATTAGTACGTAATAATTAATGATTTCTAAACTATAATTATCACAAGACATAAATTTTATAGGGATTGCTTCCTTATACTACATTGGTGAAATCAGTTTAAATTGGCTTATAACTATTTGAAACAAACAATGTGTAAAATGCTGTTTTCCCATGGTGTGGAGACTTTCATGTTGCTAACCATGGTGTGGAGACTTACATGGTGTTGACCATGGTGTAGAGACTTGCATGGTGTTGACCATGGTGTCGAGACTTACATGGTGTTGACCATGATTTGGAGACTTTCATGAGGACAACCATGGTGTAGAGACTTTCATGTTGCTAACCATGGTGTGGAGACTTTTATGGTGTTGACCATGATGTAGAGACTTACATGGTATTAACCATAGTGTGGAGACTTTCATGGTGTCAACCATGGTGTGGAGACTTTCATGGTGTCAACCATGGTGTGGAGACTTTCATGATGATAACCATGGTGTAGAGACTTACATGGTGTTAACCATGGTGTAGAGACTTTCATGATGATATCCATGGTGTAGAGACTTACATGGTGTTAACCATGGTGTGGAGACTTACATGGTGTTAACCATGGTGTGGAGACTTACATGGTGTTGACCATGGTGTAGAGACTTACATGGTGTTAACCATGGTGTGGAGACTTTCATGAGGATAACCATGGTGTGGACACTTACATGGTGTTAACCATGGTGTAGAGACTTGCATGGTGATAACCATGGTGTAGAAGAAACTTGCATTGTGCCAACCATGGTGTAGAAATTTACATGGTGTTTATCATGATGTATAGACTTGCATTGTGCCAACCATGGAAGTTTAAGATTTACATGGGTTTTAAGAAAGGTAAGTCCGTCCAAATAACTTAGCTTTCCTTCACCTGTGGTATTAACGATTTCAGAAAGTTTACCAAATTGTTGATTTTCAACAAAATATAAGAAGGTGATATTTTGCAATTCTTAAAATTCTTCAATTGGCAGTTCCTACGTATCTTCGTTTCCAATTCACAAAATAATTAAAACAATATGCTTTAAACAATGGACTCTATCTTCTCAGGCTGTTGAACATCTTTAGTGTCGTTGTGATTTGTCGGAACTATTCGCACTTATCGTGAACGTTTAACTATAAAGTATACTTCATACACGTTCTAACCTTGTACATTCAACGTTACAGCAGCATATTCATTACTGAGAGCATTTTTTTCACTACATCTGTAAGTTCCAGAATCATTGATGTTGATATTTCGTATTTTCATTGTAACATTACGATATTGAGGATTTCTACTTATGGTGATGTTTGTTCCTTCATTATTTATCACTTCACGACGAGGATTTTCTTTCACTGTGAAGTAAAATTTACGTGTACCTGTGTCCGTTTCGAAGCTTGTACCAACTCAGCACTCGCAATTACAGTCAAAATTTTTAAATGTTTTTTTGCTGAATTTTTCAGCTAAATTAGATGACGTATAGAAGCGAACTAGGATTCAGTGTACCGATGGCTCAAAAATTAACGATGTAAACATAAACAAAAGCGTGCAATGAATCATTAGGGGTTCTAAAATTGAATGAACGAATGGTCTAAACGTTTTAAAATGAATGGTAATTAAAAGACAAAGCGAGAATCCTCCCATATCGTTTACGTTTATAATTTAAGAACGGTTTTATAGCTGTATGAAAACTGAGCTTCAAAAATACACAAATAACGTTGTGCAATGTTAAGAAATACGTTTAAAACAGACACTTGTGTTAAACAGCGACAAATAGCGTTATTCATGGAAAGAATATTTTTTCTTTGGCATATTCGGCGTTTGCTATTTTATCTAGAAGTCTAAAATATGAAGCATGAATCAAAGAAAACTTACTGTTTGGTAGAGTTTGCGAGAATCCTCCAACGATTTTGGACATTATTAGAAAGAAAATTACTCCATAACATCTTGATTTTGAGCAAACAAACACCATTATTGACAAACAATCCAATGCGATAAAATGAGAAAGTTTTAAGAACAGCACCAGCCGTTACTATAATTGATCAATCTAACTAAACTAATTTAATAGATCGTGACTTGTATATAAACAATGTTTTAATCCATAAATACATTAGTAAAACATCCAGAAACTCCAAAACTGCAAGTCGTACACAAGAAACGTATTTTATGTACACGAGGACCATGCACACACTGATATACAATATAATTACCGCATGTGTCGTCGACCATTGTCAATCTGAATTCTGAAAGAGTGAAGTCTTAATGTCAAAAATAGTTATGAGTATTTTGTGATGGATACTACATTATGTCACATCCGGTCTGAATGGTTTAAGTTCAGTGGTTTGCATCCGGTCAATACAAGGTTCGTATAAATTTGCACTTGAATTTTTCGCTTTGTCAACAACTTTTGTAAGATGCAAGTATGTCGCAACAGGCAAAGAACAAACATTTTTGGGTAGCATATTGCTTTTATCACTTTCTAAACATATATCCAGGATTTTTCGAAAGGTTATATTCACATACAAAGAGAAATTTTGATTCCTGACAATCTTCATGAGTTCACTCTCTGACACTTGCGTCCCATCATCCCTTCAAGGAATAGGTTGCTAATGGCAGTGACCTTCACGATCTATTTAGAAAAGTTGGGGGAAGTGTGCTGTGAACTTTAATCAGAGTTAAAAAAAGCGAGACATGAGTTTATACTGATTTTATAAATCTTGAATCTGTAAAATAGTTCTTTCTAACCATTCACACCTTACACTTAAATTAAAATACAAAAACATCCACGTATCTGGACATTAAATTGTCAGTTTTACTTTATGAAGAAAAGACAAGAAAAAGACGATAGAATCATAAACTTTGTCAATTGTTATATCCAGGTCATAGCATAAAGCATAAAGTTTTCTTGTCTAATTTAATAAATTTTTTTCGAGGTCATTACATTCCGCAAACATCTCGTTATTTTGCAGAAGCATATAAGCTCGATCCTTACTTATATTCAGTCGCATAAGAAAGGGGGGGGGGCACAATTGGATCGTTTTACTCCCAACTTTAAAATTTAACATAAAAACGTGCTCTTTTTTACAACTCAAGTGCCCATTTTTGCAAGAAAAGTGTCTCCCCAACTTTTACTTGCCTCCTACGCCTCTGGTCATACTAAACATCTCCATGAAAAATCATTTAAAATAAATGTTTATCGTTCGTAAATGAGAGTCTCTGAGAATAGGAGAAGGAAATAGAAGTTAGGACCATAAAAACTAGTCACTTAGCCATTCATAAATTCGTGGTCACTCACTGGTCACATACAAAGACAATCGTGAATGAAAAGTTGTGAATTGCAACTGATCTCCAAATTTATAATTAACTTTAAATAAACTGGAGGTAAAATTTTTCAATTACCACGACAGAATCAAAAGAAATTATAAAATGTATTGCAAGTACGTTTACAGGCGAGTATTAATTGCTTTAGTGTTTTGAAACGATTTCAAAATTTGTTTTGTCGTTCAAATGGACACACTAGTATTAAATTTTGGTCTCTTATTTGAAAGTTGATCACGCTGGGAATTTCATTTATACAAAGATTAATTCCTGTTATAACTTTCGCCTTTTCGGCATATCTGGGTTGAAATTACCGAAACTATAAAATTTATTTCGTCCAATTTTTTTTCGCAACAATACATAAAGCTCTTAAAAAACGATGATTTTCAATACTTTTTATAAGCGAAATGAAAACGCGTGCTAACCTTGAGGTCGATGTTCAAGTGACAACAACAAATTCATATTTCTTTACAGTCTTTAGAACGAAAAAGGGCTCCATGCCTTATAAGAATAATAATTACCCCTTTCTTTTTTCTAAACTGTCAATAAAAATCCATTGTACCCAGGTTATAAGATTACCACTTGCTACACAACGAAAAATGTTCTTTTTTTCGGCAGAAAGTTGTAGTCCATGTAATGTGGCTACATTTTAGATCACTATCATTATTTATTTCTTTAGAAAGTTATTGTTTTTCTAGTAAGTGAGCACATACAAATTTACACAGCTGTAATAAATAATAAGGTTTGTCACCGATAAAAGTTAAAAGTTGAATGATATATAGTTTAGCAAAGCAAAAATTGCAGAACAATTCTTAGAACATTTTCACGTGAACCTTAATCAAACTATAAAATTTTATCTTCAATAAATCTATTTTTGCAAAGTCTAATTACCAGTAATATTAAGATAAACAGTTGCTGTGACGTTTCCTAACTGATTTTCTGCAAAGCACGTGTAATTTCCCGATTGTGAAATATCAACGCCACAAATAATAAGAGTTGTGCCATCATTCTTGAAGTAATATTTAGGAACTTGACTGTTGCAATTTTTTATTGTTTCACCATTAATTTCTTCACCATTTTTTGACCATATAACCTTGGGCTGAGGATTACCTGACACATTACAAATCAACTCGATGTTGTCATCTTTAAACTGATCCATTGTGGAATCTTTCATGCCATAAATTATTGGAGGATGAAATTCTATACAATAAAATAACCAGAAAAAAAAGCAATTTACAAAATTTCATATAATTAGCTAAATAGTTTACAAATAAAATGCAAGTTTTAAAACTTCAATTTCAACTCAATGTTTGAAAAAATACTTTTTGATGATAAAAATTTTCAAAGAAACTAACCTCGTACATTCAACGTTACAGCAGCATATTCATTACTGAGAGCATTTTTTTCACTACATCTGTAAGTTCCAGAATCATTGATGTTGACATTTCGTATTTTCATTGTAACATTACGATATTGAGGATTTCTACTTATGGTGATGTTTGTTCTTTCATTATTTATCACTTCACGACGAGGATTTTCTTTGTAAAACGCAATATTACTACGAATAAAAACATCTACTCTGCAAATTGCCATAAAGTCCTCGTTTTCATTTAAAATTACTTCCCCAGAAGGAAAAACTTTAAACGGATCAAAGTTATCTCCTACAGCAAAAAAACGAAACATTTCACCATCAATCAATGTAATATAATTAAAAATATTTACCATGTAAACAAGAAGAAAATCTTACCATATCGCATAAACCTAAACATTCTACTGTCATTTCCATGAATGTTTTGAGCAAAACATCTGAACAACATTGAAGCTTGTTTAGCAGTCGCTGGTATCTTTAAAACACTTTCATATTGTCCTTTGTTTTTTCCTTTTTTAAACGAAGACTTATACAGTGAAAGGGTCCAGTTATTCGAGACAGGTTCGCTACTGTTGACAACAATTTGTTGATACCAAGTTATATTTGGTCTTGGATTAGACCATCTTATCGTGCATTTAATCTCGCCTTCAGTGTTGTGTCGTGCAGTGAAATATTCACTATTTCCTGTGCTGATGGATGGTGGCACTGTAAAACCATCAGAATATCAAATGAGTCATTTCAGTCTGGATGACACAGTGTCATTAACAATGGCGAGTTGTACGAACAAATGTATAGTACTATTTTAACATCAAACTCCCTTACGATCAAAGTAATAAATTTAAAAAAGCAAATCTACTAGCAACTTTGCAATAAAAATGCTTTATTCCCAAAATTAAATAAAATATTTTGGAGCTAAGAAAGTTGTTTAACTCGCAGCATTTGTTTCAAATTTAAGAAAGTTAAAGTTCGTACACTTTGGGAATTACAAATCATGTAATTTTATGAAAAAATGCTTTGCCATTGCCAAGCAACCAAGTAACAAAAATGCTTGGGCCATTGTTGAGTACATAAATGAAAAAATCTAGGTATACCTTCAACATTGACGTAAAATGAAACAACATCCTTCCCAGGAGGATTGTTGGTAGTGGCAACACATGTGTAGTTTCCATCATCTCTCACAAAAGAAATTGATTGAATAATCAACTGAGGGACACCGTTTAATCCATATTGATCCTGTTCGCAGACCAATAAGTCAAAACTTGGAGATCCTTTCAGTTTCTTTCCAATACAAAATATAATTTCTTTGCTATCTTTATAGCAAGTGATATTTGGAAATGGAAATTCCTCAACATAAAGCGTTATCTCAGCTTTATCAGCTTCATTAAAATAGAAAAAGTTCTTCACAGATTTAAATTTAGCAGCTCTTCTTTCTAAATAAAACAAACAAATTTTAGTTTGTTAAGGATCCAAGCATCCACATTCTTCATTAAAATAACACGCAAGACAACAATTTAACATAAACTTTAAAATCTTTAAAATAAGTAGATATTAACGCACGTTGACTTGAAAAAACGTTTGATGGAAATAGGTAGTTGGACTTCATCTGGTTCATCTGACAGTAAAAATATCAAAAATATAATAATCATATTTGGTGTGAAAATTTTGTTTACGAGAGCAATTTAGAAATTGCTTGCGCACGAAAATGGCACAGATAAATAGTCATTGCTATTCAAAAAATGAGATGTTGTTCTTACCTACAAACTTTTATAAAATTCGGCAAGTATGGCAACACTGAAGGAATAAAGTATGGCAACACTGAAGTAAGGTAATAAAAAAGGAGAAACGTAAAATTATCCGAGATTTGGATGCCTAGCGTTTGCGTACGCTTTGATCCATTTTTGCAAAACTTTATTATTAGCTTTAACAACATATTTAACACAATTATGTGTTCCAATTGCTTTTTAGTTTTGTCATTTTCGCGCGCAAAATATTTCAAAAGTGTCTCTTGGCAAGATAATTCTCGTCCTAAACATAGTCATGATGGGCGAAAATTTTGCTGTCAGATGAACCAATCGAAACGCAGATAACTATAGTGCTCAATACAAAGTAGAGCTGATTTTATCAAAAGGAAAAACTGCAATTCTATTTAATGTTATAACTTCATAATTAATGCAATCATTATCTTACTAGTATATACATAAATCTAAAATTCCAATGTAATTCTAATCATCCAATGAACATTAAGGACTCAATTTTTTTGGCATTATAGAATTTGCATGAATTTGCTTGATACAAAATTGAACCTACCTATGACTTCTAGAATGCGTATATCGGATAAAATTTTCCTGTTATTTTTTCCAGCAACTTCACATCTGTAAACACCTGCATCGTTTATAGACACTCTTGGAATGTGATACACTTCAACACTTTTTTGAGGAGTTGTTCTAACAGTAATAAGATTTTCAGGAACATAATCCTCAACTTCTGTACCATTTAGTCTTCGTCGCCTGTACCATTTAATTTTTGTTGATCCTTTTCCATACTCACAACGAAATTCAAAGTTTGAACCTTCAGTAACTCTACTGGTCATAACTTTTGGATAAATCGTAAATTCATATTTTTTTGCTGCAAAAAGAAAAGATAACAAGTGCTGAAATTGTAATCAAAAAATAATTTAGACACACCAAATTTGTTTAAATAGTAGAATAATTCAAAGAAAATACCATTATTTTTACACAAACATTGGACAAAAATATGCCAAAACAAAACAAGATATTCTACCATAAAGCAGATATATCTAACATAAACTTTAAAAAGAACACAAAATAGTACATTTAACTCTATCTTTATAAAACAAACAAAGTCTGTGTCAAAGAAGTGATGTTAAATTTACTTTACTTTTATTTGAGGAATTAAGACAAAATGTAATGTTTGCCTTGGAGAAGGTGCATATGTTTAGATTTTTTGAGCAATTCAATTTATATCTACACTATAGTAAATGTGACAGAATTACTGAAAAAGGTATAGTCATTTCAAATAATACAAGTACCTGGTCGGACGATAAGATAACCCAAATTAATAGTCATCTCTTTACCATTTTGATCAAAAATACATGAATATTGCCCACCATCCAACACTTTTAAATCAGACATGGTGAGAAAAGTTCCGTTGACTTTGATTCTGTCGCTAGGAATTATTTCCCTTCTGTTACGAGTAAATTTCACAGTGCTGTTGCCAGTCAAGCTTACATCACACTTAAAGATTTGTTGAGTTCCAGTTTCCTTAGAAAAAACTTCAAAAACATAAATTCATTAGATAACAACCATTAAAACTCAAATCAGAAAAAAAATTAAGAGAAAATGTTCACCATTTAATAAGTGAAAACCTTTCCAAATTCCGATATTTTATACACGCAGTCTTAAAAGCAGATTGAGATCTTAGATTATTTATGTTAGAGCCTTGCCAGGTTGAAAGAAAATTTTCAAGATGAGTGTGACAACCCAATGTAAAATAAGTTTACGGCCCGTTCACACGATTTCTTTTTCTTCGATCCGATTGCTTCAGTTCAGACTTTTGGTTGCTTGTTCGGACTGGCAGATAATTTTGTTTTTCTTTCACCTAACCTGAATACTTATGTATTCAAGTGAGCGCAGTAAAACTGTAAAAGTGAACTCATCACAGTTCATTACGTGAGCGACGTGATAATGGTGAGAAGGATAGTCAAGTTCAACTATATAAATTACAGGGTTCTCAGCATCTTCATACAATGGAGCTTTTTCAACATAGCTGTGTCATAACTGGTCACTCTTAGCAAGGTCTGTGTTCAAAGGTCACTCTTAGCAAGATATTAGCATATTCACAAACAGGAACAATTTTATTTTAAACCTACAATCAAACCACTGATTTTGTACAGTATATAATAAAATACAGTTCACTGTCTAGTAACAGAGGTAATTTTGATGGATGTGATTGCAGTGTTACCACAAAACCAGTCAAGGCTGAAGGCTCTGTTTGGCCCATTCCAGACTGGCCTTGCTTCTCAAAAATAGGTGTGTAACCTGGCTTGGGACACTGTTCAAATGATATTTAACCTACATAAAACATGCACAATCGACGTAAATGAAAAACTTTATAAAAACGTCTTGACTATTGTCAGTAAAATCCGGAGCAGAATATACATGCAAACACAACGATATTTGTATTTATTAAATAAAAATACATAAACATCTCCTTTATCGTGATGAAATAATTTCAACACAAAAATTGTTAATTCAACAATTGAAAAACAGCACTGTCATCCTCAGCATTTTACATGGCATTAATCATTATTCTGCACGTTTATTTCATAAATATCTGCAGTGTTCAACATACACAGAGCGGAAACCACCAAACCACTATGCAAGAGGAGAGTTTTAAGTTATAAAATTATAATTACTACACTCATAACAACATATGTATGACTACGCACAAAAACGACGTGTTCCACTCTGTTTTATTTATATTCGTCGTAATATGAATTGCTGTTTGCCCGAGCAATTCCCTTGGCAAAACTCTGCAGATGCGAATTGCCAAGTAGCTACAAGCCATTAATTTGTAATGATTTGCCAAGTGCCTTGGCATACATTTATTACTGATTATTGGTGCGTTAGTTTTTACAAAAAAGGTTTTTTGTATTCTTTGAATTGTTTTTTGAAAAAATTTACACTAGTCACATACCCAGGAAGAATTATATGAAAAAAATATTAAATAATCGATCATATTTATAGACCTTTTCAACATTTAGCCATCATTGTTGTTTATTATGCAGAAGGTAAAGTGGAATGTTATTTTATGCATAAGCCCAATTCATTTACCAATATGCAAATACCTTAACAATACAAATGAAATCACTAGCTAAAATTAAAATATTTCACTTTGTACAACAAAGAAATGAAAGAAAATTGGTAAGCATTAATTAGATAAGTCAATATTCATGGTTCATATGTAAGGCATTTCAGAATATTTTCAATTATGCTTTCACATTTACATCATTTACTGCTATTGCACTGAAAATTTAAAGCTAAGCCCATGTGTAAGATTGATACGCGTAGGCTGTGTAGCCTTCCAATTACATGCATGTATACAGTTCATTGAAATCAAGAGCAAAAATCATTCCCTCATCACTAGTTATTCTTAAAAGTGTTATTTATAGCAAGGAAACTTTCAGCACCTTACGCAAATTCGACTTTTAATGTATTATATAAATGTGTAAAATCTAAAATGTGTATGAATGAAGAAAACTTACCGTTTGGTGGAGATTGCGAGAACACTCTGACGAATATGGACATAATGAGGAAGAAAATTACTCCATAACTTCTTGGTTTCGAGCAAACAAAAACCATGATTGACAAACACCCCAAATTCAATATGATATAATGAAAAATAACCTTTACAACCTAACGCAGTCAGTCTGCTAGTATTAGTGAATTTTCTCAAGTAAACCGCTTTCGACCGTGACTTTAAAACAAAAGGTTTTTCAAGTAAAAATGCAAAGCATTAAAAAATTGCCAAACATTAGAAGTGACAAGAGACTAAATTTAAATAGCCAATTTGTTTTTCAAAGGTCAATGAAAGTTAAAAAGGCCAAGATCGAGTTCATAACCTGTCTCAAAAATACCAAACATACAACACAAAGTTGAAACTGAAATTGTTAAGTAATGATAGCATAATATAATAATAGTTGCTGAACGTATGTCAAAATTAATCATGCGTGTTTTGCATAAACAAATAGGTGGATACTGTGCAGTTGCATCCGATCCGGATGTGGTCAATACACATATTATGCATGTGGTGATGCACTAGGCACTTCCAAAGCAGACGGCATATGAATATATACAGGGTGTTTCTCAAGGCAGTACCCTAGCCCAGAGCCGAAACTAGATCGTTAATTGGGGGTGAATATTCATATATTCAGCACTGCCCGAATTTCAAAAATATTCACCCCCTAATACATATAAACATTCACCTCCCCAATTAACGTTCAAGTTTCGGCCCTTCCCTAGCCTGATCTTCTTGAGTTCTTGTTCATCTGAACAAAGCTCATAAAATTTTGAAGATATTTTAATCCTGACGACATGATCGTTTTAATATTTTCAAAAGATAGTGATATAATCAAAAAATATAATATACTAAATGAAAATCTTAATTATTTATCTCAGTGGCATCATAACATTGAAATAATGATCTGTGGTAATTGGTACCGTAAGAACTTAAGGGTCCATATTCGCTGATTGACGAAAACTTTAAATGCAAACCGCAAACGCAGAAATTATATACGTCAATCCATACACATCTCCTTGTATCTCTCTTACGAGCGTGGAAATTAAGCCTCTTTTTTAAAATTTATTGGTTTTACAGCACACAAAAAAGTGGATTAGGAAATTGTTTTTGGAAATGAATAAGAAATTTGGGTAGTAAACATTTTTGGTGATGAATCTCATCTTCATCACGATTTTTTTTGCTGTAGATCATGTTTGTTTATGCATACAGTATCATCTATTATATAGTAGGGAAAATATCAAAAAATTGATGTTGTTATTGATTTTTTTTATAAGTCGTCCGCCGTGTCTTTTAACGAGGGACAACATGAAGAAAATCAACCAGTCAGTTTAAAGCTTTTTCTATTCTTTGCTTACTAAATCTTTATCAATTTCTAAATCTTGTGTATGAATAGGAATACCAAAACATATTTTCTAAATTTTAGATAGAAACGGGTTTTTTTTTCATAAACTTTCTAAAACTGTTTATTCCGTCTAAAAACTACGAATACAAATATCTAAATACAAAAACAAAAAAGTAGCACGGATCAGCTGATAACAACTAAATTAGAATTACATTTGCCTAGTCTTCAATCTGAAGTTTGATCATAAAAATGTTCTGTCCTTATAAGAAACAAGCCAAAATAATGTCTTCGAGGTGAGTGATTCTCTTTAACGACTGCACCCTTACATTCTTTCATTGTTTACAAAAAATCCATGTCGATGTTGCCTTCGTAGCTTCAAGCAAAAATCGTAAGATGCAGAAACAGAATATAGAGCTTATAGCAATTTAACCATCATGAATTTCAATGCTACAGCATTAATGTTTCATCTAAACTGGAAATCTAATTATAAATTATCATATCTTAATATCAACTTACCTTTTGTCTTCAGACAATCTCCCAACGATAATGAGACAAATTTAACGATTCGGTGATACACCAATAATCATTAAACATTTATAATACACGACAAATTTCTTTAGAGCAAACATGTTTAGGCATACTTTATGAGTATTGTGCTCCTACGAAATTATACACCAATAATGTTGAAAAGCAAGCGTTCAATATTAATCTTGCAGCATGTGCTTCCATCTGTTCCGTTGATATGTCCATTGCAATTCAATTTTAGTAAAATATTTCTCAACTAATAAAGGAGAATTTTACAAAAATGATCCACGATGTATAACTTTTATAGTTTTCACATTTTCTCAATCACCTATAACTTGATGTAATGTTACAAGTATAGAAAAATTTTCTGTCCTCTATTCAAAATTCGTTACTGATATTGGTTTCTGCGACCCCCCCCCTCCTCCAACAAAAAAATTGACATTTTGACTGTCGTTACTGCAAACGTGTGGCCTCTCAGGACTTTGGATATTTAAATATATATGGCAACAATTTTTCCTATTTACGCTACTAACTTTTTGCTAGAAATGAGCACTTTCATTTTTGTTAATGAAATAATACAAATCATATTACCAATTATCATGTTTACATTATAAAAGGAAAACTTTTAAATACTACGAAAATGTCAAATATTAAATATATCCAAACGGATACCTGCTGAAAAAGGAACGCTACAATCTTTCGAATTAAAACTCATTCATGTTATTCCAGTAATCTTTTTCCCTAAATAAACTTTTAGCTCAGACAATTCATCTAACATCTTGTTAAGTTAGAAGAAGCATAAACTCAAATCAAACTTTAAGCATCTTCATCGGAGATGCCTCTTTTTTCAGAGTACATGAAGAGAATTGGACCGTTTGAAATACAATTCATAAATTCTTGGTCATTGGCTCACTGACAACTGGCAAAAGCAATAATTTAAAGTCGGAGGTTATTTGCTGATTATTGATTGGAATTTTTAATTTCATTATCTGCTTCAAGTAATGGACAAAAAGGATGAAACATACTACGACAAACAAAGACATCTTGCAAACTCAACATAGCTATGAGTTCGATGGAAAAAATGAAGACACAATACTTCATTTGGTGATATTTCGACTCTATAAATTGTCTCCTGGGAAACGTTAACAACAAATGCAATATAAAGCATCTAGGTCAAAATGAAAATTAAAAAACAAATTACTTTAAAATCGGTTTTAATCTATAAAATAAACTAAGACATACCAAGTAAATTTAATGTACTTCATAAAACCTCTAAACATCCATGTTTGAAGTTCAGAAGTTTGTTGTTTGAAAGTAGTGCAATTTTTTATGATATAATTTAGTTTATATTGCAATAAGTGTTGATTGTTCTTTGCCTAAAATTTAAAAATTTAACCTAAAAAATTCGCATCTTTGCAAAATATATAAGATCAATCAAAATCACGATTCTGAGAAATAAACCAAATAATTTCTCCTTCAGCGTTTCAGTTTAAAATTAAGATTTATTTTTTAGAGATGATTTCTTATCTGTAGTTAGTCAGCTGGAATTTCAATTGAAAACCGTTTACTTTGTTATTTGTAACTAACTCAAAATCCTAAGGTCGCCTTAAATCGTTGATGGATATCAGTGGCATACAAAACATGAGGACCTAGAGGGACATTATGAAACATGTACGTTTGGCGATAATTTATAACATGAAATCATTAGTACGTAACAATTAATGATTTCTAAACTATAATTATCACAACACATAAATTCTATAGGGGTTGCTTCTTATACTACATTGGTGAAATCAGTTTAAATTGGCTTATAACTATTTGAAACAAACAATGTGTAAAATGCTGTTTTCCCATGGTGTGGAGACTTTCATGTTGCTAACCATGGTGTGGAGACTTACATGGTGCCAACCATGGTGTGGAGACTTACATGGTGCCAACCATGGTGTAGAAACTTGCATTGTGCCAACCATGGTGTAGAAACTTGCATTGTGCCAACCATGGTGTAGAAACTTGCATTGAGCCAAACATGATGTAGAAACTTACATTGTGTTAATCATGATGTGTAGAAACTTGCATTGTGCCAACCATGGTGTAGAAACTTACATTGTGTTAATCATGATGTATAGACTTGCATTGTGCCAACCATGGTGTAGAAACTTGCATTGTGCCAACCATGGTGTAGAAACTTGCATTGTGCCAACCATGGTGTAGAAACTTGCATTGTGCCAAACATGATGTAGAAACTTACATTGTGTTAATCATGATGTATAGACTTGCATTGTGCCAACCATGGTGTAGAAACTTGCATTGTGCCAACCATGGTGTAGAAACTTACATTGTGTTAATCATGATGTGTAGAAACTTGCATTGTGCCAACCATGATGTAGAAACTTACATTGTGTTAATCATGATGTGTAGAAACTTGCATTGTGCCAACCATGGTGTAGAAACTTACATTGTGTTAATCATGATGTATAGACTTGCATTGTGCCAACCATGGTGTAGAAACTTGCATTGTGCCAACCATGGTGTAGAAACTTGCATTGTGATAACCATGGTGTAGACGAAACTTGCATTGTGCCAATCACAAACAAAACAAACAAACAAACAACATTTGTATACCAGCCAGTATTAATCCCCGCCAGGGGGGTTGACCGGTCCATGAACTTTTCTACGCCAAACGTCTCTATCTCTCGCCATATCTCTTGTTATACCCATCGCCTTCATATCACTGTTCACAGCATCCATCCATCTCCTTCTCGGTCTACCTCGTTTGCGGACTCCATCAACATTCATATGCAACGTTCTACGTATTTCAGCATTGTGCCAACCATGGTGTAGAAATTTACATTGTGTTAATCATGATGTATAGACTTGCATTGTGCCAAACATGGAAGTTTGAGATTTACATGGGTTTTAAGAAAGGTAAGTCCGTCCAAATAACTTAGCTTTCCTTCACCTGTGGTATAAACGATTTCAGAAAGTTTACCAAATTGTTGATTTTCAACAAAATATAAGAAGGTGATATTTTGCAATTCTTAAAATTCTTCAATTGGCAGTTCCTACGCATCTTCGTTTCCAATTCACAAAATAATGTAAACAATATGCTTCAAACAATGGACTCTATCTTCTCAGGCTGTTGAACATCTTTAGTGTCGTTGTGATTTGTCTGAACTATTCGTACTTATCGTGAACGTTTAACTATAAAGTATACTTCATACACGTTCTAATCTCGTACATTCAACGTTACATTAGCACGTTCATTACTGAGAGCATTTTTTTTTACTACATCTGTAAGTTCCAGAATCATTGATGTTGATATTTCGTATTTTCATTGTAACATTACGATATTGAGGATTTCTACTTATGGTGATGTTTGTTCTTTCATTATTTATCACTTTACGACGAGGATTTTCTTTCACTGTAAAGTAAAATTTACGTGTACCTGTGTCCGTTTCGAAGTTTGTACTAACTCAGCACTCGCAATTACTGTCAAAATTTTTAAATGTTTTTTTTGCTGAATTTTTCAGCTAAATTAGATGACGTATAGCAGCGAACAAGGATTCAGTGTACCGATGGCTCAAAAATTAACGATGTAAACATAAACAAAAGCGTGCAATGGGTTAAAATTGAATGAACGAATGGTCTAAACGTTTTAAAATGAATGGTAATTAAAAGAAAAAGCGAGAAACCTCCCATATCGTTTACGTTTATAATTTAAGAACCGTTTTATCGCTGTATGAAAACTGAGCTTCAAATAACGTTGTGCAATGTTAAGAAATACGTTTAAAACAGACACTTGTGTTAAACCGCGACAAATAGCGTTATTCATGGAATGAAAGTTAACATAAAAACGTGCTCTTTTTTTACAACTCAAGTGCCCATTTTTGCAAGAAAAGTGTCTCCCCAACTTTTACTTGCCTCCTACGCCTCTGCCCATACTGAACATCTCCATGAAAAATCATTTAAAATAAATGTTTATCGTTCGTAAATGAGAGTCTCTGAGAATAGGAGAAGGAAATAGAAGTTAGGATCATAAAAACTAGTCACTTAGCCATTCATAAATTCATGGTCACTCACTGGTCACATACAAAGATAATCGTGAATGAAAAGTTGTGAATTGCAACTGATCTCCAAATTTATAATTAACTTTAAATAAGCTGGAGGTAACATTTTTCAATTACCACGACAGTATCAAAAGAAAGGATAAAATGTATTGCAAGTACGTATACAGGCGAGTATCGATTGCTTTAGTGTTTTGAAACGATTTCAAAATTAGTTCTGTCGTTCAAATGAACATATGAAAAAGCAATCATCGCAACAACATTCCCAATAATCGTTTCATTCAATCAGCCACTGTTTTCATTGGCAAATGTTTCTGGTCGCTCTATAAACAAAAAGACAAAAAAATCATGTCAAAAATCTTGTTAAAAGTAAGGTTATTTAAAAGGCCTTAATAGAATCCTGGTTGTATCAAATGTCATTTCTCTTTGTGTAATGATTACTCACATTTCTTCAATTCAACTCTATTAAAATAGTTTTTCTTGCAGCATCAAAAACTCTCAAATATAGTTAAAAATGAAAACTATCTACAACTCACTGAATAATTTTCTGGAGGTAGAATATATTGATTCTTGTGTTGCTTTCCTTTTTCTTTTTTGTTTAAAAAGGAGATGACAGCACCAACGATGAACAGAAGAACGATCAGACCAATAACTAATCCTACAATGCTTCCTGTTGATAACTCACCATCACTTCTAGCCAATGAATCTGGTTGGCGATGATCTGAAAAATTAAGAACAAAGACAAAATCATTTAGAAAAATAATGTTTAACATTGGACATACATTAAATTTCGTTTCTCTTATTTGAAAGTTGATGACGCTGGAAATTTCATTTACATAAAGATTAATTTCTGTTATAACTTTCGCCTTTTCGGCATATCTGGGTTGAAATTAACGAAGCGATGAATTTCATTTTGTCCAATCTTTTTTCGCGACAATATATAAAGCTCTTAAAAAACGATGATTTTCAATACATTTTATAAGCGAAATGAAAACGCGTGCTAACCTTGAGATCGATGTTCAAGTGACAACAAATTCATATTTCTTTACAGTCTTTAGAACGAAAAGGGTTCCATGCCTTACAAGAATAATAATTACCCCCTTCTTTTTTATAAACTGTCAATAAAAATCCTTTGTACCCAAGTTATAAGATTACCACTAGCTACACAATGAAAAGTTTTCTTTTCTTCGGCAGAAAGTTTAAGTCCATGTAATGTGGCTACATTTCAGATCACTATCATTATTTATTTCTTTAGAAAGTTATTGTTTTTCTAGTAAGTGAGCACATACAAATTTACATAGCAGGAATAAAAAGACGGGTATACCACCAATGAAAGTTGAAAGTTGAATGATATATAGTTTAGCAAAACAAATATTGCAGAACAATTCTTAGAACACTTCCATGTGAATCTTAATTAAACTATAAAATTTTATCTTCAATAAATGTATCTTTGCAAAGTCTACTTACCAGTAACATTAAGAAAAACAGTTGCTGTGACGTTTCCTAACTGATTTTCTGCAAAGCATGTGTAATTTCCCGATTGTGAAATATCAACGCCACAAATAATAAGAGTTGTTCCATCATTCTTCAAGTAATATTTAGGAACTTGACTATTGCAATTTTTTATTGTTTCACCATTAATTTCTTCACCATTTTTTGACCATATAACCTTGGGCTGAGGATTACCTGACACATTACAAATCAACTCGATGTTGTCATCTTTAAACTGATCCATTGTGGAATCTTTCATGCCATAAATTATTGGAGAATGAAATTCTATACAATAAAATAACCAGAAAAAAAAGCACTTTACAAAATTTCATAGCTAAATAGTTTTACAAATAAAATTAGCTAAATAGTTTTACAAATAAAACGCAAGTATTAAAATTTCAATCTCAACTCAATGTTTGAAAAAATAGTTTAGATAGTTTGTGAAAAGATAAAAAGTTTGTTCCTTGTGTTACACAGCAAGAATTTGGGAAATTTTTTACAAACTTTTCTTTATGTTTTTCATGATAAAAATTTTCAAAAAAACTAACCTCGTACATTCAACGTTACAGCAGCATATTCATTACTGAGAGCATTTTTTTCACTACATCTGTAAGTTCCAGAATCATTGATGTTGATATTTCGTATTTTCATTGTAACATTACGATATTGAGGATTTCCACTTATGGTGATGTTTGTTCTTTCATTATTTATCACTTCACGACGAGGATTTTCTTTGTAAAACGCAATATTATCACGAATCAAAACATCTACTCTGCAAATTGCCATAAAGTCCTCGTTTTCATTTAAAATTACTTCCCCAGAAGGAAAAACTTTAAAAAGATCAAAGTTATCTCCTACAGCAAAAAAAAGAAACATTTCACAATCAATTTAATATTAATAAACAATATTTACCATACAAATAAAAAAATCTTACCATATCGGATAAACATAAACATTCTACTGTCATTTCCATGAATGTTTTGAGCAACACATCTGAACCACATTGAGGCTTCATCCTCAGACCACGGTATCTTCAAAATACTTTCATATTGTCCTTTGTTTTTTCCTTTTTTAAACGAAGACTTATACAGTGAAAGGGTCCAGTTATTCGAAACAGGTTCACTACTGTTGATAACGATTTGTTGATACCAAGTTATATTGGGTCTTGGATTAGACCATCTTATCATGCATTTAATCTCGCCTTCAGTGTTGTTTCGTGCTGTGAAATATTTACTATTTCCTCTGCTGATGGATGGTGGCACTGTAAAACCATCAGAATATCAAATGAATCATTTCAGTCTGTATGACACGGTGTCATTAACACTGGCGAGTTGTACGAACAAATGTAAAGTACAATTTCAACATCAAACTCCCTTACGATCAAAGTGAGAAATTTAAAAAGCAAATCTACTAGCAACTTTGCAATAAAAATGCTTTATTCCCGAAATTAAATAAAATATTTTGGAGTCAAGAAAGTTGCTTAACTTGTTAACATCATTTGTTTCAAATTTAAGAAAGTTAAAGTTCGTACATTTTGGGAGTTCCAAATCATGTAATTTTACGAAAAAAGCCTTAGCCGTTGCCAAGCAACCAAGCAACAAAAATGTTTGGGCCATTGTTGAGTACATAAATGAAAAAATCTAGGTATACCTCCAACATTGACGTAAAATGAAACAACATCCTTCCCAGGAGGATTGTTGGTAGTGGCAACACATGTGTACTTTCCATCATCTCCCACAAAAGAGATTGATTCAATAATCAACTGAGGGACACCGTTTAATCCATACTGATCCTGTTCGCAGGCCAATGAATTAAAATTTGGAGTATCTTTCATTTTCTTTCCAATACAAAATATAATTACTTTGCTATCTTTATAACAAGTGATATTTGGAAATGGAAATTCTTCAACATAAAGCGTTATCACAGCTTTATCAGCTTCATTAAAATGAAAAAAATTCTTCACAGATTTAAATTTGGCAGCTCTTCTTTCTAAATAAAACAAACAAATTTTAGTTATTTAAGGATCCAAGCATCCACATTCTACATTAAAATAACACGCAAGACAACAATTTAATATAAACTTTAAAATCTTTTAAATAAGTAGATATTAACGCACGTTGACTTGAAAAAACTTTTGATGGAAATAGGTAGTTGGACTTCATCTGGTTCATCTGACAGTAATAATATCAAAAATATAATAATCATATTTGGTGTGAATATTTTGTTTACGGGAAGCACTTTAGAAATTGCTTGCGCACGAAAATGGCACAGATAAATAGTCATTGCTATTCAAAAAATGAGATGTTGTTCTAACTTACAAACTTTTATAAAATTCGGCAGGTGCGCAAGCAAACGTTTAGCTTTTACATTGCAGAATATTTTCAATTTTTCACTATGCATAAATTTGAGTACTAATGTTACTTGAATAATTGATGAAAGAATACAGTTTTGCCAGATCGTAAACAAAGTTCGTAGTATTGTGAGATCCCGAGTTATTCCAAGGTTTCCCGTTAACTTCCGATATTAAAAATTAGAAGTAAATGTAATATGAACTTTTTGCCATTTTTGTGAATTTTTGACGTAAACGAACCTGAATATTTTAAAATTTCATCTGGCAAAATTGAAGGAATAAAGTATGGCCACACTGAAGTAAGGTAATAAAAAAGGAGAATCGTAAAATTATCCGAGATTTGGATGCCTAGCGTTTGCGTACGCTTTGACACATTTTTGCAAAACTTTATTATTAGCTTTAACAACATATGCCATAATTTAACACAATTATGTGTTCCAATTGCTTTTTAGCTTTGTCATTTTCGCGCGCAAACTATTTCAAATGTGCCTCTTAGCAACATAATTCTCGTCCTAAACATATTCATGATGGGCGATAATTTTGCTGTCAGATGAAGACGTTGTTGTATAACCCCGAGCCTATGCACATGACAGGAAAGGACTGGGGGAGCCACAAGAAAGCCACAAATGGCCACGTCTGCAGCAAGCCCCTAAAAGGCGATTCCGTTCGAGACCACTGCCACATTACTGGCAAGTACCGAGGTGCGGCCCACAATGAGTGCAACCTGAAGTTGCGGCTCAGCACAAAGACGACAACCATACCGGTTGTCTTCCACAACCTGCGGGGCTACGACAGCCACCTCATTATGCAGAATATCGCAGAGACTGAAAGGAAGGTCACTTGCATCCCTAACAACGCTGAGAAATACAACTCGTTCAGTATCGGCCAGCTTCGATTTATCGAAGTTCATGCCCAGTTCATGCTCTCAAGCCTGGATGGCCTGGTAAAAGCCAGTGACCCGCGAGACATGCGCATCACAGCAGACTACGAGCCGAACCTCCAGAGGCGTACCCTCTTGCTCCGGAAGGCGGTCTACCCCTACGAGTACATGGACGGCTGGCCCCGATTCGACGAGTAAGCCCTCCCGCCGAAGGAGGCTTTCTACAGCAAGCTCTCGGGCGAAGGCATTACCGACGGTGAGTACGCCCACGGAAAAGGGTCTGGGATGCCTTCGGGTGCACAAGCCTCGGCGACTACCACGATCTCTACCTTCGGACCGATGTCCTCCTCCTCGCCGACGTCTTCGAGAACTTCCGAAAGTTGTGCCTCGAGCGATACCGGCTAGACCCGGCCCACTATTACACGAGCCCGGCCCAAGCTGGACGTTCTCCTCAAGCACAGGGGTTGAGCTGAGCTGCTCCGACATCGACATGCATCTCTTTAGGCCTGCGCGGCGGCATCAGCATGGCCAGCAGGCACTTCGCCAAAGCCAACAACCCCAGGGTGACCGATATGGGAAGCCCCAAGCTGGATCCAGTACTACGACGCAGTAACCTGTACGGCTGGGCGATGTCGCAGCCGCTGCCGACAGGCGCGTTCAGTGGGTCGCCCAAGGATGTGAAGGCGACCCAAACCAGCCTGTAGATGCAGAGGAGGATTCTCGAAGTCGATCTGGAGTACCCAGAAGATCTGCATGATGAGCACAATGCATATCCGTTAGCGCCAGAACGCTTGAAGGTCGACAACGCGTGGATGTCGGATTACCAGCAAAATCTCCTCAAAAAGATGTATGGGGGTGGGTCTCACGAGGTCGAAAAGAGGTCGACAAGACCCGATACGTCCTGCACTATCGGAATCTGCAGATTCATCTGCAGCTTGGCATGCGCCTGAAAAAGATCGGCAGGGCACTCCGCTTCGATCAAAGCTTATGGATGGAGCCCTACATCCGGAAAAACACCGAACTCCGGAAGAAGGCAAAGAGTGACTTTGAAGTCAACCTCTACAAGCTGTTGAACAACAGCGTCTTCGGCAAGACTATGGAGAACCTCCGAAATCGTGTCGATGTGAAGCTGCTCCGGCCAAGTGAGACCGAGAGACTCCGCAAACTTATCGCCAAGCCGACATTCAATCGGCATCTTATCTTTGGTGATGCGGGAGACTTCGCAGCCGTTCATATGAATAAAAGCAGTCTGCAGCTCAACCGGCCGATCTTCGTGGGCATGAGCGTTCTCGACTTATCGAAGCATCTGATGTACGACTGGTACTACAACCATCTCAAGGTGCAGTACGGGTCGTCAGCAGAGCTCCTCTACACCGACACCGACAGCCTTGTGCTGGATATCCAGACTGAGGACGTGTACGCCGACAGGAGACGCAACGCCGGTCATTACGACACCAGCAACTACCCCAAAGACCATCCGCTGTTCAGCACAGCCAACAAGAAGGTGCTGGGGAAGATGAAGGACGAGTAGGCTGGGGCGCCTATCGCTGAGTTTGTGGGGCTCAGGCCCAAGATGTACTCTATCCTGAAAGCCGATGGTCAGGAGGAGCGCAAAGCCAAAGATGTTAAAAAGGCCGTCGTGAAAAAGCATATCAGTCATGCCCAGTACAAAGAGACGCTCTTCAAAGCAAAGCGCTTTCGCCACGGTATGGATGTGCTGCGCAGTCGCGGGCATCAGAACTTCGGCGAGCATGTCAACAAGACATCGTTGAGCCCGCTGGACACGAAGCGCTGGATCGTGGCCGATGGGATCTCTACCCTAGCATACGGGCATAGGGAAGCTGGTGCGCAGGTGAAGAAATAAATGCGTAATTATGATGTGATAATTACAGTAGAAGAGCTGCTCCACAGCTGAGCGCAAGATAGTACCTGGTAGTAAAAGCTTTCATTAAAGCATGACAGGACCCCATTGACTAAGCCAGCGGTGTTTCGGTCTCAAAGGGCACCACTTGGGGCTCCTCGCGCACAAACGTGCGCTTGGGCCCATCAATCAAATAATACAACACGGGCTTCCCACCCTCAACCACAGCCCGCTCGACCTGGTGGGAGGTCACACTCCAGATAGGATCGGTCGCCCTACGCCGTTCGCCAGCCTCGAGTTCGCCAGGCGCATACAAATACCGCACCATAACATCCGATGGCAAGCCCTGCTTTTTGAAACCAACTGGACGAAGCGCCGGCGCAACGGGTTTGGCCTTAACGCTCTTCTTCCGAATCGCAAGGGAGGGCTTTTCACCCGTCAAACGAGTAGTTTCATTATTGAGCGCTTTAAGCACCTCAGGTAATCTTGATACCCATTCTTTGTTCCGAGTTACGGGCTCAGCCAGCTCGCGATGATACTGGTAACCGAACAATCGCTCCGCCAAAGTTCGGTTGAATCTTTCTACGATCCCCTGATCTCTATGAACCCCGACCTTACCCCGTCGAATCGTGACACCATTTTTATCACACGCTTTTTGCACAGCCCCGCGGAACTCCGAGCCAGGGTCGACTTGTAAAACTTTAGGCCATCGAAGAGGCCCACGGGCATAAATAGACTCTAACGCCTTCCCAACCTGGGTCGCTGTCTTGTTTGTGATTGCCTGGGCCTCCTTATACCGACTTGCTACGTCGACGACCGTCAATGCGTATTTGAATGTGCATCTTTCGACTCGATCGTGAGGCAGAAACAAGAGATCGGCCTGGTGGACCTCATTCGGGGTGCTGATGTCAAACTTAGGTCGGGGGATAGCACTTCGCGCTGGTGCGGGCAAGTAGATCTGCTAGATGGCCTGTTTTGTTAGCCATTCATGAGCCACATCATCGCCGACGCCAGCCTCTTTAGCCAGCTTTGGGATAGCAGCACGGCCGCGCCAGTACCCCGCAGGACTGTAGTAAACCTCTGCGAGACGTTCCTCAACGTTTCCGTCCGTAGAAACGCGACCATGCCTTGTCGGGACGTCGGCTTTGACACTACGTGTCGTAGGCGACTTCGTAGATTCAAAATCGTCAGGACCACCACCAGTGGTCAGAAGCACTAGGTCGAGCACCTTCTGATCATTAGCTAGAGTGTCTTCGCCGAACATCCCCCTTAATCTTTTTAAAAGTCCCTCTACAGAACCCTCTTCTATAAACAGCCGGGACAGCATGGCGCCCGCAGACAGCCGTTGCTTGACTTTGCACTGCAAACGTATTCGTTACCATGACCCGCTCGGGAAAGGCCTCCAGAAAATATCTGCGCAGCTGAGCAGATATTTTCAGCGAGCGCACGTCCAAAACTATCGAAGACAAGCACATGCATTCCAGTACAACAAACAGTTAGCCAGTGGTGCCCCCCTTCAACCGGATCATGGAGAGGGTAGATGTTGTCCGTGTTGCTGATGCAAAACTGCCCATCGTGGAGATGGGGTAGGCTGTCGTAGCTACAGACCCCAACGTACTGTCCTCGGGCTCGCTCGGCCTTCAGGAGGCATTCGATGTCAACGCTCAAGAGCGGTAATCCATCTTCCATTCCTTATACCATAATTAGGCCAGCATAATTATATGCTATCATAATTATATGCTAGCATAGTTACAAGAAGCAGAGTTGGAGTCTAAATATCACAAGGGTGCTGCTTGCCAGAATTAATCAGTTCTCGATGATGCGCCTGTAAACATTCTCGAGGTGTTGGAGCGCTTCTACAGTAAGTGGGCAGCGACCGCAATGAGCAATGCCGCCTTTTGCCCGCACCGCGCACGGTAGGTTCTTTTTCCCATGTCGACAAACACTTCCCGAGACATTGCTCTCTCCATACCTCCAGCGAGACATCGGCAATATCGCTGAACTCCAGAAGTGGAAAACCTCTCATTCGCAGACCTTGACCCCTGAGATCGTGGCGAGCTGCTGCAGCAACACCTTGGCAGGCAACCCAAAGCTCCTCCGGAAGACCCATCATTAGCTTGATACGTTGTTCATATCATCTTTTGGCACATTAAATCTCTGATTAAAACTAATCGATATCAACGGTTCTCAGATCCAGAAAGATCGGATACCCTTTGGAAATGTACTCTTTAGTGTTGAATTTCAACCAAAAGGACACCTCATTAACTTGTTGGTAGGGGCGTAGACACCGCAAGTCGGGCTTAGCAAACACATAATTGTTAATGCCGTCGAATGGCAATGCCTTTGCAACAAACAAAGCAGGCGGAGCCGGTCCTGACTTTAATGCCGATAATACCCTTAAAATGGCACCTGGTGTCCAGCTCTCTTCAACGAAAGCCTTCTCGAATACGGTGCAAGAAGATATTGTGCGTGTCCTCAGCGGGAACTTTCCGTATAAGTTTCGTCCATTCCTCCCCCTCTTCTCCAGTGGGGATGGTTGGCTGCCTCCGGCCACACAGGTGAAGATTCGCGTCGATCTCCCACAAGGCGATCTCAGTCGCTACATGATCATTTCTAACAAAGGGGGCGGTGCGGATAACGCAGACGCTATCAGTAGAATACGTATAGAACTTCTGGAGCTCGACTTTGTCTACCCCACCTATCGCATGAAAAAAGACTACAGAAACCAGGTCTCAATCGCTAAGGAGCTGTATTCCCACACCTGGTGCCCCAGGGTAGTTCAGAAGTCGTTGAACGATGACGTTGGCACTCTCGCGCTCCTACACAATGCCCCGATTCCCAGGAAGATGATTCTCTTCTTCACCGACTCGAGGCTCGAAGACGCACCAGGACTTAATCCATATGCCGCCGCCGACTCCAGTAACCAATTGGCTATAATCCACGCCAACTTAAGCCAGCTCTGCATCATCGTGAACGAGCAGAACGTCTTTGATCACCCCTTGAAGTTCTCGTGGCAGTGCAGCGAGGGTGAAGCTAACCAAACAGGAGCCACTTACTTCAACGACCCCAATAAAAGTTCCTACCTGAGAGGCTACGACTTGGTCCAAGAGTTCTTCGGAAAGACGTACGGCACGGAAGGGCTCATGACGGCCGAGGACTACTGCAACAACTGGTTCATGATCCCAATCAATCTCAATCTGGACCCTGTCACAGATAACGCAAAAGCGCGGGGAAATCTCACAATAGATTATCAATTCACGGCAGTGGCGGACAGTCCTATTGCGCTCCCTTCTGACGCCAGCACGTCAATCAAAGTGAACCTTCTGTGCCTCGATCAGTATTTGTACACGATGTCGAAAGAGAAAGGCATCAGCTGGAGTGTCGTCTGATTTATACAGTAATTACATATGCTAGCATAATTACATTTGACGTGTAGAGTTTTGTTGTTATAGTGTAATTATGCTAGCATAATTACAAGAAGCAACATGGAAGGTGGTGATCTGAAAACGAGTAACCGCCATTATCGCGGGGGTGATCTGAAAACGAGCAACCACCGTTATCGCAGGGGTGACCTCGCGACGACAAACCGCCAATATGGCGGGTTTCTTCCCTCCTACGCATGTTAGGCCTGGGGGCCGGTGTGTCGCCGTTGGAGATGCAAAAAGCGATGAGCGACCCGATCAAGTCACAAATGCTCATGAAGCGTGGAGGCTTTCCTTGGGCGTTGGCGGGGTTGAGCCTGCTCCCCATGCTGATGGGAAAGGGGACGGGAGACCGGACCGCCAACCAAATGAAGACGCACCCGCCTGAACGGCAAACTGCAATCATGATCCGCGGGGGATTGGCTTTCCCCCCAAGGCTGTTGGGAGCCACCATCAGGATAGCCCCTTACACGAAGAATGCTGCTATCCCCTTCCCCCTCGGTGCCCTCAGCTCGCTGGGGGACAATGTCGTTGACAGTATTTTCGGCGCAGGTATTCTTAACGGCAACATGTCTCACCCCTCCGACGACTACCGCGTGGAATATGTGCCATCCCGCGAGCAGACGACGGGCGGTGCTGAAAAAAGATCGAGGGCTGGAAAGACTTGCAAGACGAAGTTCGAAGAGCACGCGCAGCGCCATGGACGACAACAAGACGAAAGACGGGGGCGTCGAAGCGCGTAGCGCCTAGATTCTAGTTTGATTCTATAACATTTAAACTTTAAATGATAAAAGCATCAAACTTATAAGTACACAAATTATTTTACGTTTTTAATCAATCAGCAATTCTTGTTTGTAATTTGGCTACGTTTGCTGAAAGTCCAGCAAAAACACTCGAAATTGTGTAAAAAAATTTCCAGTCTAAGAAGTCGTCGACACACAAAAATCTATAATGTTCACTAAATTTATCAAGAATTTCACTAAACAACTTAATGACAAAAATTTCTTCCAGCAAGAGTGAAGATCGTTCTATATACTTAATATATTTGTAAAACCCACGGTAACTTTACTATTAAAAATATGTCGAATTGTACATTATGAATGCTAAAATTGCTTTTTTTAAATGTTATGTGGATTGTCTTGGTAACTTTTCAAGTATTTTGAAGAAAAGACTATATATAAGTCTACGTTATATACTTTTTTAACCTAAATACAAATTTTACTATATGCAATTTAAATGCGATATTTGGGGGTATATTCTGAACTAGCAATTTGTTAAAATATTTCGTAAGCGTGTTATATATAAATAACAACGAAACAAATCAACGCTAATATTTATGATGTTCAATGATTGAAAAATCATATGTAAATAGTTTCAAACTACTGCTCCATAAAATTGTTAAAGAAAATCAACAACTTGCACTGTCTTTATTTCTATCGTACCAGAATGCAGCGTTGAAAGACGTGCTAGAAATATGGATTTTACTTTATAGGCATATGAAATATCAGTGCATTATCAACTCTAGCCATGCAAACAAGGTATATCTACAAATTTTTACGGATTATTCCTATATTATTAATAGAAAAACAAAGAAATAGCTAAATTATATACAACAAATCGTACCTCTTCCAGGATCACCTAAATATGAACTATCAAAATATCTATGTAACATTCTTTATTCTCTAGTCAAAAGTTCGCCTCACACCATCAAAAACGCCACCACCTTCCTCGTCAACATTGACACCGTTAAACTACAACCAGACACAGACACAGTTATGATATCTTACGACGTGACATTACTCTTCACATCCATACTAGTAGACACAGCCAAAGTATTAAAAACGAACTATTTACAAACGACAAATCTTGGCAAGCCACGACACAACTTGACAAAAATGACATCTTAGACTTACTCAGTCTTTGCCTCTTCACTGAATTCTCCTTACAGAACTCATACCATAGACAAATTTCAGGCACACAAATTGTGTCACCACTATCCACCTTCACCGCAGAAATTATAATGCAACAACTCGAATCACAATCAGTCACCAACAACACAGACATCAGACTGAGGAAAAGATGTGTCGACGACATCTTTGCCATTGTCAAGAAAGACAAAACTGAACAAATCCTACAAACCTTAAACAATACAATAATAAACATAACCTTTACTAAAGATGAAGACATGAAAACAACTTACTTTTCTCTGTATCCTACTGACTAGAACAGCACACTAAACACACATATTGTGCCGCAAAACGACCCACACAGACCAAATATTTGATTTCAACATCAATCACCCAACACAACACAAAATATGCTGCATACGAACACCTTTTCATCAGAATCAACACTTATTGTAACACCGAAAAGGCTAAGAAAACAGAACGCAATTACTTATACTCCACATTTATAAAAACAATTACAATAGAAAATTTATAAACAAAATTATAAACAAAACACAAAACAAAACCCAAACCAACAAAAGTAACGAATAACCCGATGAAACAGTAAAAACAATCACATCCATGCATACATAAACGGAACATCAAAAAAGACTGCATGACTTCTTCGACCATTCAATATAAACGTCGCAAACAAACCAACACAAAGACAAATCATATTTTGCCAAACATAAAGACAAAACAACAACAATTCATGATACAACGGACGCAATCTACATGATGCCATTTAAAGATTGCTCAAAACAATACATATAGGACAAAAATCGAAGAAAATCGAAACAAGACTCACAGAACACAAAAACGCCATAAAACGACGAGATCCAAACTCATTAACGACAGAACACACGTTTGCAAATAACGACGCATAGGATTGGACAGAAATTAAAGTACTCGGACGCGCACAGACAAAACACGCACGCAAATTTAAAGACGCTTGGTACAGTAAAGACAACGACACAATGAACAAACATATTGACATACCTATCGTATATATTCACAGCTAAAGAAAAACGACAAAAAATCTACTAACGACACTCAAACCACAGCAACTCACGGTAATAATATATATTATCACAATCCTATTCACAATACACCCAAACCCACAACAACATATTTCACGTCATTCAATCACCTAAATCCACCATTAATAAAATAACTTATCCGGATAAACTTTTATCTTTCTAAAGTACATATATATAAGTTTAAAGAATGGTAATCCAGACATGCTTTATTGTAGTGCATGCCGTTATGTAATCTAGTACCTAATAACCAATTGCATATACAGTAAATAATAAATTATCTGTCAGTTTCCTGAAGATCGCCCTATGGCGTGAAACACCAAGTAGTGACAGCAAAACTTATCAATATATTAACTATACAATACATTGATTTTTTAATACTGAATTGTAAGTAGCAATGCTGAAAATTACCATATATACATTGTTGTTCAATTATACATGGTTTCAGTTTATCTTTGTTGTTTTAGTATTTTGTCAAAGTGTTTCCTTCATGTGGTTATGTATAGATAACCAAGGTTAAAATCAACGCAAATACTCCCGATGTTCAAAATTACAAAAATCATGAATAAATATTTTAAAATGCTGCTTCATAAAATTGATAAAGAAAATCAACAACAAGTAGTGTCTTCATTTCTATCGTCACAGAATGGAGCGTTGAAAGACGTGCAAGAAATACGGATTTTTACGAAATAACATACGACATATAAGTATATTATCAAATCTAGTTCTGCAAACAAGGTATGTACAAGTTTTTACGTTGGGGATTATTCCATTTAGTAGAAAAAATAAGGAAAACATCAAAACAAAAATATGTTTATAATACATTGATTTTTCAAAACAGAAATTTTACTAATAATAATAAAAATTACCTTTTATACATTCTCGTTCACTCACTGCACCAACATTGATGGTAACTTTACCATCATTACAGGTAAGACAACGAATTTGATTTGGATATGGTTGATATGTATAGGTGGGACATTTTTCACATTTCTTACCTTCAAAAGAAAAGAATGATCCAATTGAACAATCTATAAAGACGATTAATGAAACTAAAACGTTGACTGACAATAAAAATTCTACAGTTGATTTATTTATTGTATTCAATGTTTTCTGTCTCATTATGTAAGTTAACTATAAAACAAATAAAAAGTTAGAAAATTTCCAAGAACATAAAAACAACAAAAGTGATTAAGCAAAACACTTCACAATCCAAGAAAACAAATACTTACCAAAAGCATTGCCAGGAATGGCCACCTTTGGTATTGTGTCGCAGCTTCCTGAAGCAAAAGCAAGATTGTCGAGAGCTACAAAGTTTCTTGTGTATCCACGCACGACAGCTTCAACGATTAACTATAAAGAAAAGTAAGCGGCTCGGACAAATTGCTAAAGTTTAATTTTAAGTTGTATAAATATGTGTAAGTTGCGTACCCTAGATTGACCCATGGTAAAATTAACTGTGACTTGGCCTTTTCTCCACTTAGTTCCTTGGTCACCACTTAATGACCACAGTAGCACATTGTAACTATTGTGAAAATATTCTTGGTAGATATTTAATATCCCATGACTGCGAAAAGAAATATACGAAAATGAAAAGCACACAAGAGAGTCGTTTCGATAGTTTCCCACCAACCAAGCTTTGCCAGGTAAACTTGATGCAGAATAAAGATATCGTCCTGCAACACAAGAGAAAATGTAAAATATAGTTACTGTGTAGACTAGATATATAAAGAATGCATATTTATTGATAAATCATTTATTTAAGATTGCTTGATCAACCATTATAGTAATGCTCGTAAAGAGATCGATTTATGTTGTTCTAAACGCCTTGTACAGTAAGATAATTAAGATTTTTGTGTAATTGTAAAATTTATTTCACCAATTTTTTATTTGTAAATTTATGAATAAAAAATTATAGTTGTTCAGGAGGGGCGGAAGAGGGCGAGCAGGGGCGGTTATATCACACCCATCGGAGAGCCCTATAATTCTCATGTCGTGGAAAATGTGACAGTTTGTCAAGGGTGGGAAGAAAATTAAGAGTTTCTAATTTCGATAGTTGTTGTTTGTTTCTAGCTTTAACCAGTCAGAGCTTTTGAATAAAAAAAATTAAGAAAAATTTGTTTCCTCAAAGATACTAGCTTTTGGATTTTGCATATGGCAGTAGATAATTTTATTACGTTGAAGCAAACTTCAGCGTTATGCCGCTAGCTACTTTTAGTGCTCTGGCTATAGGTGTTGTATCAATCGTTTTATTCGATACATCATGATAATTAAGTATATATCCCTACGACACCTAAATTTTCTTCAAAAATGTTTACGATTAGTATGACCAAAGTCCTATTGTTTTGATCAATAAGAAGTTGAAAGCCTGTAACGGAAGAGAGAAGTTCTAAGTGTTCTCAAATGAGACTGAAAGAATGGCCAGTTATGTTGATATTGCCGAGAATGTAGAACTTGTTAGTATTCAAGAAGCTACTGTGCTACTGGATCGAAATTTACTTCCATAAATATTGATCCTGTATGAGATCACGAAAAACGTTAAAGGCTAAGTTGAAGAAGAGATTTAATGACAAGAAAATTGTCGTTATGTGAAGAAATAGCAATTACTGCTTTGACCCACCGATTTTACAACATTCATGCATGAAAAAACTTTCAGCTTTCGCTGACTCATTTAATGGCACAACTATTAATCTCCTCTCTAAACGTTGCCATGCATATTAACAATTGCTATAAAGAACTTAAAAACAATAAAGAAAAACAAAACAAATAATAATATTCTTAAAGAAATTAGAAGAAGCCTTATCTGAGCAATGACTGCCTGCAGTTTGCTCTTGTGACGTGTCATCAACTTAATTCAAGTGGAATTTCAGCTCAATTCAAAATCAGAGTAGTCATTTTTGAAAACAAAATCTCACTGAACGATCTTCATCTAATTCATCAATAAAGCCTCTCTACTATATAAAAATGACATCATACCAAAACTGAAGCCTTCGCCATTACAACGTGATCTTCTATATAGTGAACTAAGTCTTCTGTCAAAGTCGTCATTGCCCTCCACGTTGCTTTACAAACCTAAACTCCAAATCATCCACCTACGAATTGGGCTTAGTACCGTCTGCACCTCACAATTCACAAGCGTAATTACATTAAGTAATAACCAATATTTATTATCTTACTCGCTTTACCAAGCTATCCAGTTCTCCATTTACGAAAACTCACTCAGTGTTTCAAGAGATCAAATTAGTTTTTTATCATGAAACTCGATATTTTTTCTACTTGCACACATTAAAAAGCTCTCCTGTTTCAGAACTTACCAAGCGTCAAGGAATTGCGGACAATCCAGTTGTAATCATCAACTCCCTCAACATTGTGCCATGGACATAAATTCGTGCACAGGCCATGTTCAAAGTCACAGACATTCGCTGTAAGTAAATAGGAGAGGAATCAAGCAAAGCAAGTTATACTTAAATACAACATTGAAAAAAGGGTTTTTGTTTCATTCTAATACGTAAGATTGCATTTCACTGGCTATGTAAGCCAAAATTAGTGTAAAGAAATTAGTTTGAAGAAATTTTTATATTTTCTTGCATACATACGTCGCATGAAATTTATTGGACAAAGGAGCTGGTTTAGAAAGAGAAAAGAAACTTTATTTAAAAAGTACAAAATATAAAAGCTTTGTTTGCAAAAGCTATTCTTACCTTCGATCAAATAAATACATCGACTTTTTTATGTTATCATAAAATACATACAATTTTTGCTGATATTATCAAAAAAAACTTTCAATGTGTATTGTGTAGAAAATTACATTGATCAATAAGACATGTATACTACAAGACCAAGCATATATTAATAGTCGTAATACTAACTAGCTGACAGCGTCATGCAGCATATGCGGCGCTAGTCAAAGTAAAGATAACATGCATCGATTATATGTGGATTACTGGATTTTTAAGAACTCGTGAAAATATATTTTCCGTGCAGACATCCCTTCCGGTAAATAATATATATTTTATGAGTCAACTTAAAAATTAATTTGATTACACTTATTACAAAACATTGTAAAACTTGTCTAAATTGCGCAACTCTTCACTTTAACGCTCTGCTCTACATGATTTTGTGTATAACAATTTACAC